AGGTAGTGTAGCTTGCAAATTGAGGTACAGAACAAGCAAGGCAGCTGCACACTGGTCCAATAATCAGAGCAAGAACAAGAAAGGTGAGGCTCGCCGAGCCATTTATCGCGCTGCCTTTCAATTAATCCCACATGTGTTTATCGGCCAGATTGGCACAATAAAGTAACTACCTCAATAGAACATTCCTCAATGAATTATGAGGATTTACTTATATAACTCAAGTAAAATTCCTAGATCATAAACCAAACTCATTGTCATTCAAATCTATTCTGACTCATGGTGACCCTCTAGGACAACTGCCCCTCTGGCTTTCTGAGACTGTAAATATTTACCAGAGTAGAAAGCTTAGTCTGTCTCTCGTACAGCAGCTGGTGGTTTTCAACTGCTGATCTTTGGGTTAGCAGCCCAATGGGTAATCACTAGTATTAGGGCCTGGATCATAGTTATCAATAAACATTAGCTATAACATGGAGAAAATAGAAATGTAGCCTACAAGGAAGACCAGCTAATAAAAATATTCAAATTTAAGCTCCAACCACTAAAGCCAATCAATGATGAAGAACTTTAAGAATTCTACTAGTTTCTTCAGTCTGAAATTGATCAAACATGCATTCAAGATGCATTGATAATTTCCTGTGATTAGAATTGGAAATTTGGAAACAAAGAGGAAGGACTAGTAATTGGAAAATATGGTCTTGGTGATAAAAATGAAGTCAGAGATCACATGATAAATGTTTTCAAGACCAGTGCTTCTTTATTGTACAACACAAAAGGTAGTTATGCACCTGGACCTCACCAGGTGTATTACACAGCTATCCTACTGACTATGTCTGTAGGGAGAGATAATGGAGAAGCTCAATATCATCAGCCAAACCAAGGTGAGGTCTGATTGTGGAAGGCGCTGATTGTGGAAGGATTACAACTGTTCATATGCAAGATCATGTTGAGCCTTAGTGGTGCAGTGGTTACAAGTTGGACTGTGATTGGCAAGGTCAGCAGTTCAAAACCACTAACTGCTCCTTGGGAGAAAGACAGGGTTTTCTACTCCAATAGAGTTACAATTTCAGATACTACCTTGTCCTATAGGGTTGCTATGAGTCAAATTTGACTCAATGGTAATAAGTAAGTTCATGTTGAAGCTGGAGAAAATGTTTAGAAGTTCACAAGAGCCCAAGTCTCATCTTGAGTACATCCCACCTGAGTTTATAGACTTGATCAACGGAACACTTATGACCAAAGACCAGATGAGGTATGGGATGAAATCAAGGACACCATACATAAAGGAAGCAAACGGTCATTAAAAATGTAGCAAAGAAAGAAAAGACCAAAGTGGATTTCAGAAGAGACTCTTCAAACGTGCTGTTGAACATAGAGCAACTAAAGCAAATGGAAGAAAGGATGAAGTAAAAGTGTTGAACAGAAAATTTCAAAAGGTAGCTTGAGATGACAAAGTAAGGAACTCGAATGAAATGTGCGAAGACTTGGAATTAGAAAAACAAAAGGGAAGAATATGCTTAACATATCTTAAATGGAAAGAATTAAAGAAAAAAATTCAAGCATCGAGTCGAAATTTTGGAGGATCCTATGAACAAAACATTGAACAATGCAGGAAGCATCAGAGAAGGAAGGAAGGAATACGCAGAGCCACAGTGTTGTAAAGAATTAACCGACATTCAACCATTACCAGAGGTAGGCATGTGATCAAGAGCCAATGGTACTGAGGAAAGAAGTCAAGTTGCACTGAAGACATTAGTGAAAAACAAGGCTCTAGGAATTGATGGGATACCAATTAAAAAGTTTCAACAAACTAGTGAAGCATTGGAAGCACTCACTAGTCTATGCCAAGAACGCTGCAAGATTTCGGGCCACTGATTGGAAGAAATCCCTATTTGTGCCCATTCTAAAGAAAGATAATCTAAAAGTATGTAGATGTTATTAAACAATAACATTAATATAACATGCAAGTAAAATTTTCATGAAGGTAATTTTAAAATGGAACTAGAGTCCACAGGAAGCGGCCAGAACTCAAGCTAGATTCAGAAGATGTTGTAGAGTGAAGGATATCGTTATTCACATCAGATGGATCTTGGCTGAAAGCAGAGAACATAAAGAGGAGGTTTACTTGTGTTGTCTGGACTATGAAAAGGCATCCAACTGTGTGGAATCTATCAAACTGTGGATAGCCTTGTGAAGAACTGGAATTCTAGACCAATTCATTATGCTCTGTAAGAACTGGAACACAGAACAAGAGGCAGTCGTTCAAAGAGAACAAGGGAAATCTGCATGGTTCAAAATCCGAAAGGTGTGCATCAGGGTGGCATCCTTTCCATCTCTATGCCAAGCAAATAATTTCAGAAGTTAGACTGGATAAAGAAGAACACGGCATCAGGATTGGAGTAAGGCCTGTTAACAACCCTGCTTGCTGAACGTGAAGAGGTCTTAGGCATGAGGATCAAAGACTACAGCCTTCCATGTATTAAGAAAACCAAATCCTCCCAGCTGTACAATAAGCAACATCATTATAAACAAAGAAAATATTAAAGTCGTCAAGGATTTCCCTTTATTTGGATCCACAATCAGCATTTATGGAAGCAGCAGTAAAGAAATCAAAGGATAGATTGCACTGGGAAAATCTGCTGCACAAAATATATTTAAAATGTTAAAGATGACCAATCACAAGGATCTACACATAACCCCTCCCTGTGGAACGGGCAACAGAAAGTGAGTGAAGGGAGATGTCAAATGGTGTAAGACGTGAAAAAATAATAATAGTTTATAAATTATCAAGGGTTTGTGAGGGAGGGTGGGGCAGGGAGGAGTAAAAATGAGGAGCTGATACCAAGGGCTCAAGTAGAAAGAAAATGTTTGAGAATGATGATGGCAACAAACGTATAAATGTGCTTGACACAGTGGATGAATGGATGGCTTGTGATAAGAGTTGTACGAGTCCCCAATAAAATGACTGAAAAAATAAAATGTTAAAGATGAACGATATCACTTGGAGGACTAAGGTGGGCCTACGTCAAGACATGTTTGCAGTCATCTCATATGCACTGAATGAATACGAGACACAGAGGGAAAATGTTGCATTTGACTTATGATTTTGAAAAAAATTGGAAAAAAAATGGAGGGGTTATGTGTAGATCCTTGTGATTGGTCATTTTTAACATTTTAAATATATTATGTACTGCCAGAAGAACAATCTGTCTTGGAGGAAACAGAGCTAGCATGTTCTTTGTAAGTCTGGCTGGTGAGGCTTTGTCTCACATACTGGGGACACGTGGTCAGGACCAGGCACACCTCGTTCTGTTGGGCATAGGGTTGCTGTGAGTCTGAGCAGACTTGATGGCACCTAGCAGCAACAACAAGAAGTAGATACCAAGGGACTTCAAAATGTTCATGGACATTTTGTTACATTTTCACTACATTTAACCACAGACTTTGTAAAGGCCTAATGTATAGGAAGTCATTGCTACTGCTGTGCGTCTGGAGACAAATCCAACAGAGCAACTCTGCCCCCATACGGTGTACTAAGCCCTGATGGCACAGTGGCTAAAGTGCTCATCTGCAAACTGAAAAGTCTGCAGTTTGAACCCACCAACTGGCTCCACAGGAGAACGATGTGGCTGCTGACTTCTGTAAAGGCGACAGCCTGGGAAACCCTCTGGGGCAGTCTTACACTGTGGGCAGGACTGGGTGGCAGGGGGACTCTTCACCCTGGTGGACTTCTTTCACTTTGGAAGTGTCTTGGTCAGCAACCCAAGCACTTAGTCAAGGCGAGAGGTGAGAAGGATGCCAGGAGAAAAGAAGTCACTAGATCCAATGTTATTCAAAATAAAGGGCTTAGATAACGGAAGGGGTGGGGAAATAAAAGGAAAGGTGGGAAAGGAGGCTGAGGTAGCTACTGCCAGGAGGGTTGACTTCCATGCATTAGCATATCAATAGACCCAAGCCTCAGGTCCTCTGGAAAGGAGGAGGAGAGAGAAGGCATGGGTAACCTGAGGTAAAAATCTTACAATGATAAAGGGTTATCTCACACCTCAAGGATTCAAGATTTAAGATGCAGATTTATGAACCTACTTTCACTTGTTTGTTAAAGGAAGCTCTTAACAGAAAGCTCAACAAGATAGCATGAAGTGTTTTCCACAAATTAAATGTCTTTAACTAATGTATAATTAATTAATGTATGCAGTAAGTTCTTGAATTTCATTTTCTCTAATTTAGTTCTCCCTTTCACACACACACACACACACACACACACACACACACACACACACGCAAACGCCCCTCCATCAAAGGAGTACAGCTTACCATCTTCCACAAAACAATTTTTAACAGGTCATAGTTAAAATTTAACTTTTTTGTGTCCTTTAAAAAGTACTCAAAAAGTAGTAATTTAAAAAAAACTATATTCATCCAAGTCTTCTCTTAGGAAATGTTACAAATACTATAACTAAACCTAAACTATAATAAATTGCATATTTATTCTTTAAAAAAAATCATTTTATTGTGGGCTCTTACAGCTCATTACAATCCATATATCCATCCATTGTGTCAAGCACTATCGTACATATGTTGCCATCATAATTTTGAAAACATTTTCTAATTAAGCCCTTGGTAACAGCTCATTTCCATCCCCTCCCCCACCCTCTCCCTCATGAACTCTTGATAATTTATCATTTATTTTCAAATCTTACACCTTCACCTACTTTTCTGTTGTCCATCCCCCTGGGAGGTGGTTATATGTAGATCATTGTGACCGGTTCCCCCTTCCTTCCCCCACCTTCCCCTTATGCTCCTGGTATTGCTGCTCACATTATTGGTCCTGAGGGGTTTATCTGTCCTGGATTCCCTGTTTCCAGCTCTTATCTGTACTTGTGTACATGCTCTGGTCTATCTGGATTTGTAAGGTAGAATTGGGCTCATGATAGTGGGGGGAGGAAGCATTAAAGAACCAAAGAAAAGTTGTACGTTTCATCGGTGCTATACTGCACCCCTGACTGGCTGGTCTCTTCCTTGTGACTCTTCTGTAAAGGGATGTCCAATTATCAACAGATGGGCTTTGGGTCTCCACTCCACACTCACCCTCATTCACATTGATAACATTTTTTGTTATGGGTCTTTGCTGCCTGATACCTGATCCCATCTACACCTCGTGATCACACAGGCTGGTGTGCTTCTCCTTGTGGGCTTTGTTGCTTCTCAGCTAGATGGCCACTTGTTTATCTTCAAGCCTTTAAGACCCCAGATGCAAAAAAAAAAAAAAAAAGACCCCAGATGCTATATCTTTTGATAGCCGGGCACCATCAGCTTTCTTCACCACATTTGCTTATGCACCTGCTTTGTCTTCAGCAATTGTGTTGGGAAGGTGGGCATCAAAGAATGCCAGGTTATTAGAAAAAAGTGTTCTTGCATTGAGAGAGTACTTGAATAGAGGCCCAATGTCTGTCTGCTGCCTTAATACATAACACATAAATAATTGTACACAGATCTATATCCTTATCATTATATTTATATTTGTATGTACCTATATTTACACCTCTGTAAATGTCCCATACCTCCAAGTTCTGTCATCTATTTCCTTTTATTTTCCTCTTGTCCCACTATCATGTTCCGCCTTCATACGGCTTTTGGTAATTCTTCTCGGCTACATTGCCCTTGATCAAGCCACACCAGGTATCCTATGAACTCACCATTGACTGTAGATCACTTGTTGTTCTCTTGTCCCTGGGTTTGCTGACACCCACCTTCCGTTCCCCTGCCTCCCCCTCTCCCATATCCCCAGGGAGCCTTTGATCCTATTGTTTTCTCCTCCAGATTGTTTATCCTGCCTATCTTATCTAGATAGACATGCAGAGACAATAATAAGCACAAAGACAAGACAAAGCAAAACAAAACAATAAACAAAAACAAAGCAAAACAACACCAAAACAAAAAAAAAGAAAAGCCTATAAATAGTTCCAGGTCTGTTTGTTGACCTTCAGGAGTGTTATTCGGTTGTTATTCGGTGGAGTCTGATGGGGTGCCACGCCCTGGCCCCAAAGTCTATTTTTGGTACTCCTCAGGAGTACTCTACTCCCCTTGCTGCTTCCCTGCATATTTATCCTTTAACAAAAGAAAATCCACTTACGTCAAATCACCATTTTTTGTGATATAACTTCCTTGATTTCAATTATCTTACTAGTACGTACAGATAAAATTAATAAATTGGGTTTTTAACCTGGTTTTTCTAACTTCTCTTCCACTTGAACAGGTAGTTTAGGTGGGGTTTCAGGTTCTTCTTCTGTGATACTACTTTCCTAGAAGCAAACCAAAGAAAAAATAATGGGGAAAAGTTTGAAGAGATAAAGTTTTCCTTTGCCTTCCTAACTTACTTTAATACAACAAAGTTTTGTCTTTTAATTTACAAAGAGCAGAAGAAAGATGAGCTTGTGAGAAATGTAAGTCAAATAGTACTCTTATAAAGGATAGCAAGACTATTTCCTTGAGCATGCTATTCGGAGGGACCAGGTCCTGGAAGAGGACAGCATGCTTGGTCAAGTCGGGAGTCGATGGAAAAGAGGAAGAGCTTCAACAAGAGGGACTGACGGCAGAGCTGCAACCATGGGCTCAAACACCATGATTGTGAGGATGGCTCAGGATGGGTCAATGTGAGTGTACAAAATCAATGGCATTAACAACAGCAACAACAACAACAGAGAGCTATACCCCGGCTGGTAGTTGATATTATGGGGAAAGGATACATCCAAGCGTGTATTAGATTTTGAATGATTAATACATACATGATGAAAATGATTAGATAAATGAAATCATTTCATAACTTCAAGTAATATAAGAGGATACTCCCAGGGAACAAACGATCTTAAAAATTTTTATTTGGTAAAATATAGAAACGTTTGTCATTTAGATTGTTTTTTAATGTTCAATGCCGTGAAATTAATAATGTTCACCATGTCATATAATGGCCACCACTATCTGTTTAAAATGTTTCTTTAACAGAATGTCAGTGTCCCTTAAGCAATAACATCCCATTCCCAATCCACTACCTGTCATTCATAGCAACTAATACATTTAGGTCTCTATCCATTTTCTAGTCTATATATTTCACCTATTTAATTTCAGATTATATTTGCCCTCTTGTGTCTGACTTCTTTCACTCAGCACATAGTTTTCAAGGGTCATTCACATTGTAACATATCAGAATTTCCTTTTTCATTATGGCTGAGAAATATTCATATTTATAAACCACATTTGATTAGCCATTCATCTTCTCTCCCTTCTGGACCCTGTGGGAAATGCAGTGATGCATATTGGTGTACAATGATCTGTGGAGCCCTTGCTTTCATGTCTGTGGGTATATATCTACGGGTGCAATTGCTGGGCCATAGGCTAATTCTGGAACCTTCACGGCACAGTGGCTTAGCCCTTGGCTGCTAACCAGTGCATCAACATTTCAAACCACCAGCCAATCTGTGAAAGAGGGAGAGGGCATTCAGCTTCCATAAAGATTCCAACCACTAACCCACTGCTATCAAGTTCGTCTGACTTGTAGCGACCCCATATAGAACAGAGTAGAACTGCTCCTTAAGATTTCTAAGATTGTAAGTCTTTTTGAAAAATTTAAATATGACAGTTTTATTGACATGTAATTCACATATCATACAATCCAAAAGTTTAAACAAATTAGAGTTGTGCACTCATCACCACAGTCAATTTTAGAAATCTTTTTTTCCTTCATGTACTTATTATTATTAGCTCCACACTTCCCCACCACCTCCCCTGTCATAACCTCAGGAACTAATCCAATTACCATCTCCATGGATTTACCTATCCTGGAGTTCATATAAAGAAAAACATACAAAAACAAAACAAAAAAAATGAAACAGGAAAACCTCAGTTGAAAAGAAAGCAGAAAACAATAAAAATCAGTACAAATTTAAAATGGGACCAAAAGGGAGAACAACTGAAATGATGTTAAATTTTAACCTAACTACATCTGCATTAGTTCACTTTCCAATGCACTGTCTGATAGCAAAGCTATTCACATCCCTGATGAGTGGTCAGAGGGGATTCACCTGGGGCCTACTTCGCATGGGGACCCTGCAAATAGATTTTGGGTTGTCACTGTCATCCATAACCTCTGTAAACTGAACGATCAAAATTTAAGGATCATTCCCTCCTCTGGTCTTGGGTTTTCTTATTAACAGTCTTTGGATCCCACAGGCTGGTATGCTTCTTTCATGTGGGCTTAGCTAACACCTCTTTTGGATAGCTGCTTATTTTGCCTTTTAGATGCCAGACACTATGCTTTCTGATAACCAGACACCATGTGATTTCTTCACCACACTTTGGTATAGCACCATATCTTCAGTGATATTTTCATAAGGGAAAGTATTGAGGAGGGCCAAGTCATAAAAACCACTTGTTCATAGGGCTATGATTGAGAGTTCAAAATCTACTCATGTACCTATGTTTTATATTGGTCCCTTATTAATTTTAGAGACATCATTATCCTTTTATTGGGGAACATTATAACTCATCCCCATGTGGCCTATGGTAATTCTACTGATGGTATCACAAGTAAGGCAATGCTATAGGATTTCAAATACTATGTAGAAAAGGAAATTAGACATGTATAAGACAGCTTTTTTAGACCATAATACATGGATTGTTGACCTATACAGACAAAAACTCAAGTGACTGGACACTATTCACATGAGCAATGGGGGTTGGAGATAGAGAAAAATTAAAATACTTTAAAACCCATATCAGAAAGAAGATCAAGCTTACTATCTCATAGAAACTATTGGAAACTATGTCCCCTTATTACCCCTCAAGCCCTGAATTGAACTCACCCCACAGCTCAATTTTCAGCCAAATAATAGGCCTATAAGGTGACCAATAATAAAAGGGAGGTATGCACTCCTTAGAACAGTGGTTCTCTACCTTCTTAATGCCATGCAGCCCTTTAATACAGTTCTTCATGTTGTGGTGACCCCCCCCCCCGCCCCCCCTACCCCCCGCAACCATAAAATTATTTTTGTTGCTACTTCATAACTGTAATTTTGCTACTGTTATAAATCAGGCAACCCCTGTGAAAAGGTTTTCAACCCCCAAAGGGGTCGTGACCCACAGGTTGTGAACCGCTCCCTTAGAATGATATAAAAAGGTAGCATTTGCCAGGGATAAAGCTCAGAATATAGTTACATTATGGGAGTAGCAATCAATGTCAAATTTTCTCTGTAAATTTTCACCTAGATCACAATAAAAGTTAAAAAAATGAACATTTAAAAAAAATCAATTTATGGCATAAGAAGAGATATTTTGACCAATGTTAAATAATCAAGAGTCCAGAAGTAAGCCCATACACTTAGAGTCGACTAGAAGCCCTGGTGGTACAGTGGCTAACTCTGGGCTGCTCACCTCTTAGGTCGGCAGCTCAAACTCACCAGCAAAATAAGGCTAGCTGTTTTGGAAAGTCAGTTTCACGTGGCTTTGTCCAGTAGGCATGGTTATGCCTTTGTGAATGAGTATTATTTAAATTGTATTTTAAAAGTTCTCAGGAATGCACACCTCCCTGGTATTATTGTTCACCTTCTTGTTGTTAGATGCCATTGCATTAGGTGATCTAATGCAAGACAAAATGAAACACTGCCACGTCCAGCTCCATCCTTGCCCTTGTTTCTATGCTTGAACCCATTTGATGGAGTCATGTTGCCAATCCATGCCATTGGGGCCTTCCTCTTTTCCCCTGACATTCCCCTTTACTGAGCATGATGTCCTTCAGAGAAGCTGGATTGGAGGAAGGCTTAATATAAATCTGCAGTATCCAGATGACACAACCTTGCTTGCTGAAGTAAGAAGGACTTGAAGCACTTGATCAAAGATTGTAGCCTAAGGTATGAATTAAAAATCAGTGTAAGGAAGACCAAAATCTTCACAACTGGCCCAATGGGTAACACCATGATCAATAAAAAAAAAAGGTTGAAGTCAAGGATTTTGTTTTGCTCGAATCCACAATCAATGTACATGGAAGCAGCAGTCAAGAGATCAAAAGACAAGCTGCATTAGTTAATCTGTGACACAAGACCTCTTTAGAGTATTGAAGAGCAAGGGTGTTATTTTGAAGATTAAGGTGCACCTGACCCAAGTCATGGTATTCTCCAGCATGTGAAAGTTGCACATTGAAAAAGGAAGATCTTAGAGCAGTGGTTCTCAACCTGTGGGGGATCCCTTTCTCAGGGATCGCCCGATTCCTTACAGTCACCACCACATGAGGAACTGTGTGAAAGGGTCGCAGCATTAGGAAGGTTGAGAACCACTGCCTTAGAAGAATAGATGCACTTGACTTGTGGTGCTGGATCAGAATATTGAAAGTACCACGGACAAACCAATCTGTATTAGAAGAAGAAAGGCAAAAAAAAAAAAGCAGCAGCAAGGCTAGAGTGCTCCTGGAGGCAAGGATGGCAAGCCTTTGTCATTATCAGGAGAGACCAGTCCCTGGAGGAGGACATCATGTCGTGTTTGGTAAGGTGGAGAGGCAGCAAGAAAAGAGGAAGACACAGTGGCTGCACCAATGGGCTCAGGCATAGGAACGACTGCGAGGACAGTGCAGGAACGTGCAGTGTTTTGCTCTGTGTGCAGAGGGTCACCATGGGTCGAGATGACTTCATGGCACTGACCAACACCATTGTTGGGTGAAGTGCTCTGCATACGTCTAGGAGAGCAAGTTGGTTGGCTTTGTTGTTTAGATCATTTGTATTTCTGCTTATTTCTCATTGTCCCAGGCTTCATTAGAAGTGGTGTATTCGTCTCCTACTATACACTGAGCCTGGGGGTTCAGGGCTGAGGTCTCAGGGCACATCAAGGTATATTGGCAAAGCATAGCCCATAAAGATGATGCTTTAAGTGAAGCAATGAATAGGAGATCCACAGTGAGAGTTGGTGAGCTAGGCAGTGCACCAAGTGGGGAGGGGACCTCTGGTTACTGGGAGGATGTTCAGGTTCAGAGGAGAGATCAGACCTCTCTGGTTCCTGGTCACTGTTGCAGTTCAGGCAAGTAGAGCGAGTTATGTGGTTCTGGCCCTGATTGAAACATGCTTGCAATACTTCACAATGGCTATGCTCTGGCAGGCAAGCTGGCAATTCACCTCTCTGTCTGTTTCCTTGTTTGCTGTTTTCACTCAGCCTCATCTTCTAATCAGCATCTGAACTACTTCCCTGTCCTGTCCTATGAAGCGCAGGGCTGCAGACTGACATCTGAAGATTCACTGGACCTTGTGGGTCTTTGTTGGATGGTGCCTGGGCACTTTATCTGCCTGGTCCACCATCTTGACCGACCCCTTGAGGCTCATTTGAACACTGTGGCTTTAGAGTACATCTTAAAAGAAGTAAGAGTTCTCCTGTGAGCTGCAACGTGAGCTGTGGATTTTTATAAAATTCTAAGGAGAATTCTAGAGTGATTATGGGGCTCTTATGAAATATCGACTTGTGAATTAGAACTCATTTAGAACCTCAAGTCTATTGTGGATTTAATGAAGAGTCCTTGAAATTTCCCCTACAATGCTGATTCTTTTCCAGTAATTACTAATGAACTTATAACATTATACTGCTGGCCCCTTAACACACAGGCAGTGACAAGCTTGAAATGGAAAAGAAGCTATGAAGTTACCATTTCAGGGCTGTGATCTCAATCAAAACAGATCGGTTAAATTTTATTTATAAATATGAGCCCCTGTTTATACCTCTGCAAAAGGTGCCCTAGTGTCATAATGGGTTACACGTTGGGCTCTAACTGCAAGGTCAGCAGTTTGAATCCACCAGCTGCTCTACGGGAGAAAGATGAGGCTTCTGCTCCTATAAAGATTTACAGCCTTGGAAACCCCAAAGTGTCAGTTCCACTCCATCCTATAGGGTCACTGTGAGTCTAAATTTATTCCATGGCAGTGGGTTTGGTTCTGTTTTGGTTGTGTATCTGAAAAAGAAGCCCGGATTGTGTACATTGGGCTGCTAACCACAAGAGCAGTGGTTCAAACCCACCAGCTTTTCTGTGGGAGAAAGATGAGACTGTTTGCTCTCATAAAAATCCATGCCTCAGAAACCCTTTACAGCAGGGGTTCTCCACCTTCCTCATGCCGCGACCCTTTCATACAGTTCCTCATGTTGTGGTGAACCCCCCCAACCATAAATTTATTTTCGTTGCTACTTCATAATTTCATACTGTTATGAGTCAGGCGACCCCTGTGAAAGGGTCATTCGACCTCCAAGGGGTTCGTGACCCACAGGTTGAGAACCGCTGCTTTATAGGACAGCTACGATTTGGATTTGATGACAGCTATGCTTGGGGTTTGGTATATATCTGTAGAAAAACGGATGCTTTGGAATTATAGGGCTGGTGAATACGATTGCATATATCATGGACTGCTAGAAGAACCAACAAATCTGTCTGAAGGACTTACAGTAAGAATGCCCCCTAGAGTCGAGGATGGTGAGACTTCGTCTTATGCACTTTTACCATGTGATCAGGAGAGACCTGTCCTGGAGAAGGACATCGTGTCTGATATAGTAGAGGGGCAATGAAGAAGAGGCAGACTCTCCATGAGTTGGAGTGATGTGGCGCATGCCACAATGGGCTCAGACAGAACAAAGGGGGGAGGACAGTCCTGGCAGCGTTCTGTCCTACTGTGCGTAGACTAGCACCGAGTGGAAATAGATGTAATGGCACCACCTAACAAAAGGTCCAGAATATATAGAGAACTCCTGCAACAAAATCACTGTAACTGAAATAATCCGATTAAAGTGTGGGGGAAGAATTTCAATAAGCATTTCTCCAAAAACATATATACAATGGTCAATGAGAAGATGACCAACGTCTCTAGTCATTGCTGTTTTGTGCTGCTGTAGGGAAGTGCAAATAAAAATGACAAGAAGATACCATTTCATACCTAGTAAGCTTGCAAGCAAGCAAAAGACAGAAAATAACAAGTGTTGATAAACACGGGAGAATAAGCGCTCTCACACATTGCTCATGGGAATATAAAATAGTGTAGTCACTGTGGAAAAGAGTTTGGCAGTTCCTTCTGATCCAGCAATTTTTAATCTTAGGTCATATGCAAGAGCATTGAAAGCACATGCTCACATAAAAACTTGCCCACAAATATCCACAGGAACATTATTCATAATGGTCCCCAAGTAGAAAGAACCCAAATGTGCACCAACGGATGCATAAAATATGGTATATCCACACGATGAACATTGCTCAGCAACGAAAAGGCGTCAAATAGCGATTCATGCTGCCACACGACGGAGCAGCCAAAGCATGCTGCTTGGCCCCACAGAACAGACACTTTTTTCTGGACTCCATTAATATTAAATGTTCAGAAATCGGCAATGTGAGAGGGAAGAAAAGGTAGATTAGTTGTTGCCAAGGGCTACTGGGGAATAGAGAGGTTGAAATTGCCAGCTTCCTTTTTGGGGTAATAAAATGTTCTAAAGTTAATTGTGGTGACAGATGCACAGCGCTGGGAATACAGTACAAGCCACTGAGTTGTACATGCACTTAGCATGAGTAAATTGTGTGGTATGTAAATTAAACGTCAATAAAGCTGTTCATAATTTAACCTTATAAATTATTAATCAGTATTTATGAATATTATGTTTTTAAAATAGGAAAAGTACATAACCAATGATAGTATTTTATATACAGAAAACAGCTAAGTATCTGACCATGACTTCATTGATTGTTATCTCTCAATAAAGTATTTAAAACTATATATGAAGGGCGCGTTAGGTTACTTACCTCAGAGTCTTTTTGTTCTGGTGTTGGATTAAGAAGGTTTTCTAAATATCTAGATTTTTCTGCCCACGTATTAAAAGTTCTATATTCCTTTTTAATTTTTTCCAACCTGAAGAAAGAAAAAATAAATTATAGATAAAAAAGCAAATGATAGAAGAGTAATATGATAAGACTTGTCGAAAAACATATGATTATACTTACAAACATTTCAAAAAGGGGCAGATCAACAATATATTGTTAAGAGATATCATTGTAGTAGTTAATCAGAGGAGGAAGAGTAGAACAGAGGGATGTATAGACAAACTATTTCTGATATTAATGATGCTGTATTATTTAACCTCAATCACAAACATGTAGACACTGACTTTACAGTTCTTATGTATGCTTACATGTCTTAAAACTTCACTATATACTGACCTTATTTTAAATATAAACACGTTTTATAAATAATTCCACAGGTACGCAATATCTTTCAAAATGAGATAAGTGTTTTAAAAGAATTTAGCTCCTAATTTAAGAAACTGTAAAAGCCTTGATTTCCCTAAAGCTATAATCAACAAGAAATGAATGAAACTGAGCCTTTAAGATAAATCAACCAGGAAGAAGGCACATAACCCATCACTCCCCTGTCAGTTTGTCAGTGGAGTGGCTTGCAGGTTGCTATGATGCTGGAAGCTGTACCAACAGTATTTCAAATAACAGCAGTCACCATGGTGAACAAGTCTCAGCTGAGCTTCCAGACTAAGCAGGTGAAGCAGCAGGAAGAGCCTGTCTAGCGTTGAGGAATGAACCACTGAAAACCGATGACTAGCAACAGGACACGGTCGGATACAATGCTGCAAGATGAGCCCATCAGGCTGCAAAGGCGCTCAAACTATGATGACGTAAAAGTTGCCTCCTCAAAATACAATTGATCTTAAAACTTTGCATAAAGTAAAGATTTAGGTATCTTCATTTGCTGACAGACAAGACTCAAAATGAGTACAAACTGCTGTAAGCATCCATTAATGATAAGAAAGTGGAATGCACAAAGTATAAATCTAAAAAAACTGGAAGTCAGAAAAGAAATAAAATGCATAAAGATCAATATCCTAGGCATTAGTGAACTGAAATAGATTGATATTGCCCATATTGAGTCAGGCAAACAAAGAAAATGTTCTAAAACTGATTGTGGTGATGATTGTACAACTCTTCTTGAGTTGTTGAAAAAACAGTATTTACAACCGACAAAATTCTATCATGAGATCCCTGGCTTCGTTTCTAACACCAAGGCCATATTTCCAACTACTGTTCCTTCCTCTTCTTTTCCAAACAGTTTAATTGACGCATAATTTAAATGTCATACAATTCAATATTTCAATCACATCAAGAAAAGCTGTACAATCGTCACCACAATCAGTTTTAGAACATTTTCTTCATCCTTGTACTCATCATTAGCTTTCCATATCTCCCCAACCTCCCATGCCATACCCCCATGTTTCTTCTTCTTCGTTGCCAACTTTTGCATTCCAGTTGCCAATAATTATCAATGCACCTTGACTGCATGTTTGACTACATAGTTCAGAATGAAGACGTTGCTAGAATTCTTCAACTGCATCACTAGCTTTTGTGGCTGGTGCATAAATTTGAATGATGGTACTGGCTAGATTTGCTTGACTTTACTCCATCCACATCCCTATGGCCAACTCTACTTTGAAAAGGCAGCTCTTGTTCAGTTCACATATTGAGTGCCTTCTGGCCTAAAGGGCTTATCTTCCAGCACGGTCTCTGACCATGTTCTGTGTCTGTTCATGAGGCGTTCTGCCTCTGAGAGTGCTTGTATTCTGTCCATAAGGTCTCCTTGGGGAGCTCCTCTTCACAGTCGGTTGTTGTTCTGGATGCTCTGCTGAAGAAGACCTCGAGAGATTGATAATTCAAAAATGGTGTCAACACTGCCCCATCCAGGAGCTGCTGGAGATTCTTGATCGATTCAGAAGAGAATGTGGAATGGGGGCCACAGCTGCTGGTGTCAAATAGATCTCAGCCGAAAGCCAGGAGCATAAGAAAAATTTACCTGTTTCTATTGCCTAAGCAAAGCATTTGATTATGTGTATCATAACAAATTATGTACAACAGTACCAAAAAAATAGGAATTCCAGAACACTTAATTGTGCTCACATGGAATCTGCACAGAGACCGAGAAGCAGTGATTCAAACAAAACAAGAGATACTGTGTGTTTTAAAACAAGAAGGTGTGTGTCAGGGTTACAGCCTCTTGCCACATGCATTCAATCTGCATTGAGTAAATAATATGAGAAACTGGAGTATATGAAGAAAAATATGACACCAGGATTATAAAAAGACTTGTTTAGCAACCTGCAATATGCAGATGAGGCAACCTTGCTTGCTGAAAGTGAAGAGGGCTTGGAGCACTTGCTGATGACGATCAAAGGCTACAGGCTTCAGTATGGATTCTACTTCAATCGAAAAACAAAAATCATCACAACTGGACTAAGAAGCAACATTATGACAAATGGAGAAAAGACTGAAATTGTCAAGTATTTCATTTCACTTGGATCTCATGAAGCAGCAATCAAACCAAAAGACAAATTGCAATGGGCAAATCTACTGACAACTCATTATCATGAAGATGTGAACTGTCTCCAGATTGGTTTTCAAATGTCAAAGTATTAAAAAGCAAAGATGTCACTTGGATGACTAAGATGTGCCTGGCCCAACTCATACAATTTTTCAACCCCCTCATAGCCATCCGTTGGGCTGCAAACTGCAAGGTCAGCAATTTGACAGCACTGGCTGCTCCAAGGGGGAACGACGTTTCCACTTCCATAAACAGTGAGAGCCTCTCTGAACTCATAGGGGCTGTGTCCCCGTCCTACAGGACCACTAGGCGTGGGTATCAACTTGATGGCAGTGAGCTGGTTTTTTTTAGGGGGGATGTTGAATATCCATGCACAAGCTGAATCAGAGATAACCATCTTGAATTATGATGCTGGCAAGAACATTTAAATATATTATGAACTGCCAGAATAATGAACACATCTTTCTTGAAAGAACAACAGCCAGAACACTCCTTAAAATTGAGGAGGTCAAGATTTAGTCTCACACTTTTTTTTAAATTTTATTGGGGGCTCGTACAATTCTTATCACAATCTATACGTACATCCATTGTGTCAAGCACATATGTACATTTGTTGCCATCGTCATTCTCAAAACCTTTGCCTTCTACTTGAGCCCTTAATATAGGCTGCTCATTTCCCCCCTCCCTCCCCGATCAACCCTACATAATTCATAAATTATTTATTATTTTGTCATATGTCACACTGTCCGATGTCTCCCCCTGCCCTCTTCTCTGCTGTCCATCCCTCTTTTAAAAAACAATTTTATTGGCATATAATTCACATCAATCACACATCAAGAAGAGTCGTATAATCCTCACCACAATCAGTTTTCAAACATTTATTCATTCTTGTACTCATCATTATTAGCTCCTCATTCCCTGTCCACCCCCACCCCACCCCCACCTCCCCTGTCAGCTCTGGAGGAAAGTCCTTTTCTCCTCTGAACATCTGTGAGCCCAGCAGGACTGGAAGATCCCATATGTCTAGACATCAGTCCTTCTCCATTGTCATCATACAGTACTGCTTACCCCCCCACCCCGCCCCAAGGAACCATTAATTCACTTACTCTCTCTCTCTAGATTTACCTATCCTGGATTTTGTATACAGGAAAACTTTTTAAAATTACATTAAAAAAAATAACAACTAACAACAATAACAAAGTAAAACAGATAAAATCCTCGATCTAAAAGAAAGCAGAAAATATGAAAAACTAGAACAAATTTTAATGATTCCTAAGTGAGAGCAAATGAAAGTGCTAAATTTTAACCTAGCTGCGCCTGCAGCAATCCACTTTACAATGCACTCTGCCTGATAGCAAGGGTATTCACATCCCTGACCCGCCAGAGGGCATCCACGTCAAAGGCTCAATCCATGTGCATTTCCCCGTCACTTTTAGTTTTTTAAATTGAAACAGTTTCAAAATGGGTCAAAAGGGAGATCAAATTATAACACATTACCTCTTAACCTAACTATGTTTGCCATAATCAACTTTATAATACTCTTTGATAACAGGTCTATTCATATCCCTCCACTATGATCAAAGGGGATTCAGCAGAGGTGTAATCCATGTGCAGTCTCACATAGTTTGGACATGTTATCAGGAGGGACCAGTTCCTGCAGAAAGACTTCATGGTTGGTAAAGCAGTCAGCAAACAAGATAAAAGACTCAGTGCGCTATATGGACACAGTGGCTACAATAGGCTCAAATACAGCTACCGTTGTGAGGACGGATACGGCCAGGCAGTGCTTCATTCTCATACGGAGCACTGCTGTGAGCGGGAGCCAAGGCAATGGTCTCTAACAACTCGAAAGGGAGCCAGGAGAGGGAGAGACAGGAGAGAGCATTCCTATGCTAACAGGAGAAAAGGAGACAGGAGGGAGGGAGAAGGAAAGAGTATTCCTATGTCGAAAAATTCATTATCATGAAGATGGAAATCGTCTCCTATTTGTTATTTAAATGTAAGTCCAATCAAAATTCATATGAACATTCTTGGAGGAATTTTGCAAAATTGTTCCACGACATCTATAGATGACAAAGAACTAAGAACTGCCATAATATTTGTAATGGGTTTCATTGCGTTCCCCCAAAATATGTGTCAACTTGCCTAGCTTATGATTTTAACTGGCAGTTATCTGACAGAAGACAAAAAGGGAAGTGAGTAGCAAAAGAGGGACTTACTAACACCAAGAAAGAAGAGCTGGAGTGTGTCCTCTGGATCGAGGGTCCCTTCACTGTGAACCTCCTAGACACAGGGACCGATTGGTGCCATGACACATGGGATCTCCAAGTCATGCTTGGCTCAGATGTTAAAAGGAGAAAAGGCCCTTCCTTCCTTCCAGAGCTGACAGAGAAAGAAACCCTTCAGAGAATAGGCATGGATGGCACTCTTCGATGCAAATACCTTTTTCAGGTGCCAAATGCCTCTGCTGGCCTTGATGCTATTCTGTTCTAAACATGTGGGCTGACAGATGAGAACATAGAGCTCTAATAACACAGGCTTGTGACAGACACTGATGGAGCTCACCAGTCTCGAGTTTTCGCCTCTTCACAGACAGTCAGCCTCCCCTGGGATTTTGATAGTGTGGGGGGGTTTGAGGTGTGCCAACCTGGCTGAGCCAGGATTCTCGGTGGTTTGGCAGTTGCGATCTCCCCATAATGAGATCGGACATAAGGTAACAACCTCCGTGAAGACACCTGCTCCGAGCCCTCCATCAGCTGAAAGGGAATTTCCCCAGGGGGGCACCTTGCATCCAATCCATGTAGAATTCTGGCAAAGGTATAGGGACTTTTGCTAGATTTGGATCCCGTAACTGACTCATCATCACCTGACCTCCAGGTTCTTTGGACTTGAGCCAGTGCCCTGTCACATTGTCTACTGATCTTGGGATTCATCAGTCAGTGGGCCAGCAGCCTGAGGTCTGGCCTGAGGATTGTAGGTGCATCAACGCTTGCATTATGTGAACCAGGAGAAGTACCAGTGTTAGCCATTTCCTTGAGATGAATCTCAATCAATCAATTTCTCTTTCTCTCTCTCGTCACTGGTTTGCTTCACTAAGGTTGCTGTGGCGCATAACCATCCGGACACGTACCAACATCTAACTACACTTTCAGACACTGGAAGTTTTGAAATGAACAACTATGTAAATGTGATAGACTTTGATGGAGCAATCATTAAAATTACCTGCTACAAAGCGGAGGTTTAACAAAGCAAAGTTGTTAATGGAGAAAAAAATGTATTTTTCATTTGTATTTGAGTTCAAACTCTTCAATGTAATATATTTTGGCATATATTAAGAAATGTCAGAGCAAAGAGGTTACAATGAAACTATTAAGAGTTAGAATTCAAGGGGATTCTATTAGCGTATTTGGTATGGAAGAGTGGGTATGTGCCATTTATGTGAATGATATTTGGGGAGGGTTCTCAAGTGGCTACCTTAACCTCTGTATCCCTTCTTTAAGGCTTACAAAGATTGTTTTGAATGGATGTTCCTTTCTAGAGACTTTATATCATCCTGGGTTTTTTTCCCTTTCCCTTTGATAAATATTGTTCTTTCTCCTATATAAACATTTTTCCAACTCTTTTCTTGCCATAAAACTGATTTTTAAAAATAGACACCTAAATATGGTAAGCAATAATCAGGAACCATCCATGTGCCCATGACAGCGATGGTTTATGGACCAATGGCAAGTCTATGTCTCAAAGTAAGATAAAAAGAACATGAGTAATAGAAACATATAAATAGCACACCAATATATAAACAAATACAAATAATATAAAGAGAAACTATAAGTAGTATATGAATATTACATTTTTACCCTTTTTGTTTTACCTTCTGCGGGGTGGTTCCTGGAGTTTGTCGAGTCGCACAACAGAGGGCTGGTTGACTTTACTTGGCTTCCCAACGGTCACATTCAGGTCTGGGGATAGGAAAGCTGGGTATTCGAGTGGCTGTGGCATAATAACATTTCTGCAAAACAGTAAGATTGAAGATTGAAGCACACAAACGTACACTTCTAAAATCAGTGGTGAATTCTTCTCCTGTTTACACTGTCCACTCAGCTACCCATCCTGGACTATCAAAGGACAGAGCTGGACGGGAGCCCAAGAGCAGAAATCTCGAGAGACCTGTTTTCTTGATTATTCTTCATGCTAAGTCCAAAGATGGGGGGAAAGAGCGGACCAAGGTTGTTCTAATGAAAAGAACTTTCTCCTAACCTCTCCACCCAGGTTTCTATCTCCTGTGTATCTCATTTTTTGAGTTATTAATTCTTTGGTAAGGAGCCCGGTGGAGCGTGGGCTAATCATTGGGCTGTTTACCAGAAGAATAGCATTTCCAAACCAACAGCTGCTTCGTGGCGAAAGATGACGCTCTACAGTCATAAAGAGTTGGAAACCCACAGGGGCAATACTACTCTTTCTTTTTCTTTCTTTTTTTTTTTAGGGTTGTGATGAGTTAGAGTTGACTCAATGGCAGTGAGTTTGTTTTTGTTTTGAATTCTTTGGAATGTTTCCTGTGTCAGGTATTTTGTCTATAAGTCTATCTATCTCATGTGAGATAATAATTATAATATCCTGGGGGTGGGGGGATAACCAACCCAGGGACAAGGGAACAACAAGTGAACTAAAATCGATGGAGAAAAGGGTGTAGGATGCCTAGTGGGGTTTAATCAAGCGCAATGTAACAGCAAGGAATTACTATACCTGAATGAAGGTTGAACATGATGGTGGGACAAGAGGAAAGTAAAAGGAAATAGAGGAAAGAACCAGAAGGCAAAGGGTATTTATAGAGGTCTAAATACAGGCATGTACATATGTAAATATATTTATATATAACAAGAGGGAAATATATCTAAGTACTTATATCTATATGTTAAGAATGAAGGTAGCAGATGGGCATTGGGCCTCTCGACTCAAGTACTCCCTCAACACAAGAACACTTTGTTCTAATAATCCAGCATTCTGTAATGCTCACCTCCCCAACATGATCACTGAAGACAAAATGGGTGCATAAGAAAATGTGCTGAAGAAAGCTGATGGTGCCTGGCTATCAAAAGATTTAGCATCTGGGGTCTTAAAGGCTTGAAGATAAACAAGCGGCCATCTATCTGAGAAGCAGCCAAGCCCACATGGAGGAAGGACACCAGCCTGTATGATCATGAGGTGTCCATGGGATAAGGCATCAGGCATCTAAGATCCAGAACAAAATCATACCAATGTGAAGCAGGGGTGGGGATGAGGAATGGAGACCCAAAGCCCATCTGTAGACAATTGGATATCCCCTCACAGAAGGGTCACAAGGAAGAGATGAGCCACTCAGGGTGCAGTGCAGCACCGACAAACCACACAACTTTCCACTAGTTCTTTAATGCTTCCTCCCCACTATAATCATGACCTCAATTCTACCTTACAAATCAGATTAAAGCAGGACATGCACACTGCTACAGATAAGAGCCTGCAACACAGGGAATCCAGGATAGATAAGCCCCTGGGGGCCAACAATGAGAATAGCGATACCAGGAGGATAAGGGGAAGGTGGTGGGATAAAGGGAGAATCGATCACAAGGATCAACATACAACCCCGTTCCCAGGGGGACGAGCAACAGAAAAGTGGGTGAAGGGTGGCAGAGAACGATGTAAGATATGAAAATAAAAATCTATAGCTTATCAAGGGTTCATGAGGGAGGGAGTGGAAGGGAGGGGAAAAATGAGGAGCTGATACCAAGGGCTCAAGTAGAAAGAAAATGCTTTGAAAATAATGATGGCAACATATATACAAATGTGCTTGACAAATGGTTGAATGTATGGATTGTATAAAGAGATGTAAGAGCCCCCAATAAAAGGATTTAATTAAAAAAGATAATATCCTATTTTACATATGAGAAAATTAGGGTTCAAAGCCTTATAGGTTTTAAGTAACAAAGTCAGCATTTGAACACAAATCTCTCTGATTCCAAAGCCCATATTCAAATACAACTCATTGTTTGCCCATTCTCTAAATATGCTCTTTCTTTAGTATTCCCTGGTTCAACACACTGTAGCAAACAGCAAATTGTACCACCAAATATTTTTATATGCCCAGGGGGCCATAATCTGAACATCTTTTTCCTCCTCTCTTTCCCCTTTCTCTCATTTTAATTCCAACGAGTCGTTTCTTAATTGCAGGAGAAATAGACATTATAAATATTCCACAAATTGACTCCTTTGTATTCCCATTAACCCCACTGTTTTAATTCAAATCCTCATTTTCTCTCATTGAGATTAATGCAACAGCTTCCTCCGATCCTTGGCCTCTAATATTCAGCCCTTGTGCTCACAGCAGATCCCATTGATTGAAACCACATCAGAGGCAAGCTGAGCATAGCATCTCCCCACTTAGACTTCTTCAAACGACTCTAGATCCAATGCAGTGTCTCCACACTCCCTACTGAAGAATCTGTGGGTAGAGGACGGTGACAGAGCTGGAGGGGTAAGCTTAACCGAACACCCGATTTCATGGACACATGATGCTCCTTTCACGCTTTGTGTGTCTTTTATTGCATTCAATAATCGGTGGACATTACTTTTAATGTAACAGTTTCCTTCCAGAAAACTTTGAGTGCAAGCAACACTCCGTGACCTTGTGTTGGCCTCGTGCGCTCCTGAGCACCCAGAGGGGTACGGGGCGCTCACACTTGAAAGGCACCCACTTGGAGTGGGGCTGGTAGCAAGGACAAAATGTTTATTCCTTTTAGAAACAGCTCATCACTTGTTAAGGGGAAGCTGGTGGCTCTGTGAGTTAGCGATTGGGCTGTGCTGAAGGAAAAAAATTAGGCTCTCTGCTCCCGTCGAGATTCATGGTCTCAAAAACCCTACCTAAGGTCACTATGCCTTGGAATAGACTTGAGGCCAGTGGGGGTGGTAAGTAGTGACTCCTGAACAGTTTACTATTTACCAGCATTTTAAAGTGCTGTTTGTGTAGCTTATTTAATCATCACAACAATCCAAAGAGGTACTTCTTGTTTTGATCTTATTCAACAGATCAAACAAGATAGTTTGGCTCTGCAGCCTGTACTCTGAACCACCTCTTGCCTCCATCCACACCTCCAGCTCAACCTTCCTTGCTCATAGGCGCTGGACCAGTCGCAATGTAACAGTCTCTCTCTTGTGACTCTATGGACCGATCTATGTCCTCTAATGGGAATGTGTCTCCTCACTCCTCCAGGATCAACCTAAGGAACTTCTACTCATTACGAAGTCTCCCCTTAAACACGATGTCTTTCCTGAAGCCTTCTTTGAGCGTCCTGTCCTCCCCGTTTTCCCTGAGAAGCATTAAAAGCACTTGGCTATGCTCCATAATTCATCGGAACCAAGTATCATTTACCTTGGTATTTGCAATGCCTTTGGGCAGGGAGGACATAGCAGGCATTCAATACTTCAATGCTTATGGGATCAACAGATGGATGAGAAAATAATAGTTCCTATATTTCCTTAAAGTCAGCCTCTATCTAAAGATTGTCATCTCACTATTTTGACAAGTTGCTGATATCAAATGGACAAAGTTTATTTTTCCTTTTACTGTGTTTGATGACAGTTGGGCATTAAACAAGGAAGGTCAGAGAGAGTCCATGCATTTGCATTACGGCGCTGTTGAAAGTACTGTGGAGTGCCAACGGAGCAAACAAATCTGCCTCAGCTACAGCCAGAACACGCCTCCTGAGAGGCCCTGACGGCCAGCGTCATCTCCCGTGCGTGGGCACTTTGCTTGGGAGAGACCAGTCCCCGGAGAGAATATGATGCTTGATAAAGCAGAGGGGCAGCGGAAAAGAGGAAGGCCTTCCAGGAGATGGGTTGACACCATGGCGGCAACAATAGGTTCGACCATAAGAACAATTGTGAGGACGGTGCAGGAGCGGGCAGTGTTGCGTTCTGTTGTGCAGAGGGGTCGCTATGAGTCGGAGCCAACTCCGCAGCACCTAGCGACCGCAGCAGCAGTTTGGTGAAGGCACAGAACAATGACTCAGAATATAGTCATCATCATCCTCTATTTAATTCTCTCAAGTACATGAAAATGTCCCCCGTTTCTTATTCTTTGATAAGATTATAAATTACATTTCTTTCTCGGGGGCTCATTTTTATTTAATCAACTTTTACTGTTGAAATATCAAGATTTGTTGGCACCCTCTATTTTAGTTATTTTTACTTGCTAGTGATATTTTTGAAAACAGATTTTTTTTTCTGAAGATGTGAACGTAACCAAAAGGTTGGAGGTTCAAGCCTACTCAGAGGCAGAGGTAGCTCAGAAGAAAAGTCTGGTGATCTACTTCAGAAAAACCAGCCACGGGACAATCTGTGGAGTACAGTTCTCCTCTAACCCACATGGTCACCGTGGGTCAGCGTTAGCTCAACAGCAACTGGGTTTCCTGGGGGGGGGGGGGGGGGGGGGGTGTTGACGTTCAGCACAACTCACTGCTCTCTCTACCTGGGAGCTGGTCCATCCTGGCCAGCTCCTGGGGCAAGCTTAAAACAAATGAATCACTCCATCAGGCATGGTCCATTTCAATATTCACATGCTCTAATCTGATTGATAAGATTTCAAACACTTACGACACTGGGTCTGTCCTTTCTGGAGGCGGTATAACAGACATAAACATGGATGGCTCAATAATCTTCTGAAGAGGTTTTAGCTGAAGGAAAAGACAAATATTTTAGTACAAAGTACAGTTTACCCTAACGTTACTCACCACCAAGACGGTGGCATAGGCCTAAAATGAGACAGATAATGAGAAAAGAGTGAAATTAGAAAGAACTGTACAAATGTTGTCTCTTCTCCTGTGAAACAAAGAACAATGATGGACATCAAATACTCAAAAGAGCAACTAGTCCAGGGAACCAGAAGCCTAGAGGAAGCACGGCCTCTTCTAACCCAAGACCAGACAAGTTCAATGACGTTCAGCCCCCACCACCAGTCCTTGTGGCCAGGCCACAATAGAAGGTCTCAGAGAGAATGGGAGGAACATGTAGAACAAAACTCACATTTCTTTAAAAACAGACGGGCAGATTTACTGGGCCAGTGAGGACGAGAGGAGCGGCCTAAGACTAATGTCTTGGGTTACTCTTTAAATCTGGAATTCAAACCTCTTATGGCTCACAAAATAACGAACATCAACTGTGAGTATTGTGCACCTTGAAATCATCCTCTCAATGAACCAGACAGTAAATATTGACCCTGGACCAAAGGTGAGAAGGTAAGGGGGTTCAGAGAAGCTAGATTAATGGAAACAGAAGGGTTGAAATGGAAATGAGGTTGTTGGCACATTGTGGAAAATGCCACCCAATGTCACAAAACAATATGTATAGAAATTGTTTAAGTGGGACCTTAATTTCCCATGTAAACTTTCACCAAAAGCACAATATAATATTTTTAAAAGAAAAAAACAATATTTATGGATAGTTTAATATACTTGCCAAGTATTTTATACCTTTAATCTTATTTAATCCCCCAGTAATCCTATGAGGTAGATAGCTTTGCCCATTTTTATAGATGAAACTGATTATTAGTAATTTTTTTAAGGGAAACCAAATAGGTGTGAAGCTCTGCCTTCAAATCCATGCTCTTTTTACAGTATCATGCTGGGCAAGTATGGGGCTATATGTTACTGGTTTTAAGACCTTAAAAATTCATATACATTAACTTTTTAAAAGTTGAGCTCTTATTTATATATCCCCTTCTTTTCCTTACAATATGTATAGTCTTTGTTTTAGTAGATTCCACCTCCATACAACCAGAGCCCTGGCAATACAGTGGTGATGCTTTCAGCTGCGACCCATAAAGTCAGCAGTTCGAAACCACCAGTTGCTCCAAGGAAGACAGATGGGGCTTTGTACTCCCGTTAACAGTCACTGTCTCAGAAACCCACAGGGGCAGTTCTACCCTATCCTGTAGGGTCGCTGTGAGTTGGCATCGACTTCCTGCAGTGAGGGCTTTAACTACATAAAAAGGAGCCCTGGTGGTGCAAGGATGAAACAACTTGGCAGCTAACTGAATAGTCTATGGTTCAAACTCACGAGTGCCTCATGGGAAAGAAGACCTGGCAGTCTGCTCCCTTAATGTTTACAGCCTGTGAAACCCTATGGGGCAGGTCTACTCTCTCCTATAGAGTCACGATGAGTCAGAATCTGCAATAAGTCACACAATAATAGCAACCCAACACCTACAATACTTGGAATAAGCCAACAACTACAAGGCCATCGTGCTTGGTAAAGTAGAGGGGCAGCAAAAACAAGGAAGGCCCTCGGCAAGACAGGTGGACACAGTGGCTGCAGCGATGGGCTCAAACGTAAGAGCGATTGTGAGGAAGGTGCAGGACCAGGCGGTGTGCACAAAAGGTCTCTCTAAGTCGGCTCAATAGCACCTGACAAGGATAAACCCATGCTTGCCCTGTCTTATCTGAAAACATGTATATCATCCTAAGAATGGGTATTGTCATATAATCATAGTATATTCTGACACAAACCCATCCCTGAAGTTAGTGTTTAAGCTATGACACACACACACACACACATACACAAGAAGCAAACAATTAGGGGACCTCATAAATCCTAACTCATAAAAAGAGAGAAGAAACAAAACAATGGAAGGAGAAAGAAAAATTAAAGAATAGAGGGTAAAAATGAAAAGTTCGTGTCTGGTATCTTTATCTGTGTATTACTTCTGAATCCAATTGCATTAGAAATCATTATAATATGCTATAGGCAAAAATTTAAAATCACGTTACAGAGACTTCTTCATGGTGCAAAGTAAGAAGAGGGAAGATCCCAATCCAGCATCAAATTTAAAATCACCCGAAAGGATAAAAATAACAAAAACTTGACATGAAAAAGATTATATGCAAAATAAAGGTGACCAGATGCAGTTTTAGTTATAACTATACTGTAACAATACTGGAGCTAGATTTTTAAATCCTCAAAGCTGGAGTACTATCCAGGGATACCAAAGTTCTTTCAAACCTCTGGTGGCAGTGTATGCGGGCGCTACTTTCTACTTTCCTAGAGCAAGTCCTTTGAAAGATCATTCTTTGGGGCAATACTACCCCTTCTGGTTTACAGAGATACGCAAATACACGAACAAAGGTTAGTGCACAAAAATGTTTTACTGCAACCTGGATGTATGGTAATGAATTTAGGGGGACAGACCAAAGTGAGAAATATACATATATGTTTTGGGGGTCTATTACTTGCTATATGAATCAAGAAGGATTCAAATAATATCAGATATTGAAATTACCATGAAGGAAATGAAAAGATGTGGTCAGAGCATAAAACATTATTTGAATGATTCAATCTTGAATATTTGTAGATGTAAAAATCCACATCCAGTTCTAGAATCCTGAAATAATTTTGTCTTTAATTACATAAATCTGTTTATATATTCACATATACAAATAAGCTAATTATATATTAAAGACATTTAAAATAAAATACCATTACTTTAAAATATATATGCAAATAATGAGAACATTTCATTTTCAGTCGTCTGGAGAAAAATAGCATCTTAAATATTTAAAGAGTTTATCAAAATGGAAAGGGTACATACAGGCTCAAGGTAGATGATATGACTATAATAAAATTATTTCATAAAGAAACTATACTAACCTGATGTGAAAATCCAAAACCGAAGTTTCCATAGGAGAACTTAAATTCTACCTCCACCCTGCAGATAAGCTAAAAATTTGGAAAACTTAGTTTTAAGTTGAATCTGAATAATATTTTAATGGAGAGGTTACATTTTTATCTTAACTTATAAGTTAGAAAAGCCAAGCAAGAGTCTCCGGAAAGGACTCTATACAAAAATGTATTATATTTATGATAAGTTAAAAAATATCGAACCCCCAATAAAATGATTTTTAATGTGTCCGTTAAGAATACTTTATAATTAAAATACAGAAAATATCAACTGACAGCTAATATGATTACATTGAAATACAATCACATATGAGTAAGTCAAAAAGTATTGCTGGAAGGTCACAGTAACCTTTCTTAAATTATCAAAATGTGACGCTTTCATTTATTCCCTGGCCTGTCCTCCATTGGGCTCTACCTGCTTCTGAAGGCGGAGGAGGCTCAGCGGTTCCCCGTCGGGCTGCGAGCTGCCGAGCTGAGAGTTGGCTATTCAAACCCACCGGGCTCTCCCTCCTGGGAGAAAGAGGAGGCTGCCTGGGCCCACACGATTCTGCAATTCTAGTCTCTCCTACAGGGTTACCTGGAGTCTGGATTGCCCCAAGAACTCTGCCGTCTTCAATGGGTCTGGAAACTTCTTCCTAATAAGCCTCTGTGTTTGTCCTTAATTCTTTGAGAAAATCTATCAAGATCACTCTGTTGGTATCCCCAAAACCAGTTCCCGTCACCTTTCTGTCTTGAATTTGTGACCCCGCAGATCACAGAAGGCACCCTTTCGATTGGACCTTTTTTTATTAAGGCGCCCTAAACCAGAATAATATCAGGGTGTTATTCGGGAAGCCTGCCTGCCGCCATCCATCCATTGCACACACGTTTAAACGCGTGTTTAACGTGAACTTGTGCACCTAGTAGCAATAATGTTATCTTCGCGTGTGCATACGAGTTTGTGTACATATACACAGACATACACAGATTTAAATATGTTCTTGCATTCCTTCCATCTTCTTACATTTTAAAATAAAAACTGACTTTATACTCAGACAAGTGCATTTACCTCTCCCATCACCAGGTCCCTGATATGTGAAAAGAAGCGGGGTGTCGTTGGTAAATGACCTTACATGTTCCTCCGTGTTTCCTATTGGCTACAGCCCCACCGGCCCAGGCTCCTGCCCAGCTGGGTCCCTTTGTTCTCCCGGACAGGTGGCACCTAGGCACCTGGGGTACAAGCTAACCCCACAATCCACATGGAATTGGAGTGGGCTCTGAGAGCAACGGGGGTCAGAGGGGGGGGACCCCAAGGGGAAGGTGACCACCTTTCCCCAGTTGATGACCACTGTGAGCTGACACACACTCCTCTCCACGGTTACCTGCCCTGGAGGCAGGAGCGGGCCACATAAGAGGAGCATGATCCCCCAGCACTCACGGGTCGCCAGAGCTCTGAAAGCAGCAAGGCCCCTTCGGAAGGCCCTTCCCCTCCGTCTCCTGAAACGATGGCAAGGCTGCCTGTGTCCTCGCAACCCCCGAGGGCCAGCTCAGATGTGAGTACCCCGCACGGAGTAGGGCAGGGGACGTCAGGCCAAACAGGAGCGCAACCCCCAGCTCCAGGCCAGGGTGTGCATTTTCAGACTGCAACTGCGATTTCCGCTTCCGAGAGCGGCGGGAGGAGACGGCCCGCGAGAGGGGACGGCGCCCCCTGGCGCGCAGACCGATCAGTGCACACCAGCTGCTCCGAGCGGTGGCGCCCACTGGTGGAAGGGCGGACCACAACTGGTCCGCGGGCCTGGTTGGGAGAGCTGGGGGAGCGCTCAATCTTGACACCAGGGCGTTAGGTCGGAGAGGGACAAAAAACAGGCAGAAAAAGGCATTTTACTCCTTCACCCAATGATTTCTAATCTTTTTCACCATTCAGCAGTAAGGTACCAGCTTTTTTAAAAGGGCATTGTGTTTCAATGTTGTAAGTCAATATTATACTCTTTATGTAAAACGTTCATATTACCTTAATATGCTATCATAAAAAGAACAAAACTCTATCGGCTCCAAACATTAAAGTTATGTGAAGCAATAAGAAAATATTACATGTGCACAAAACTGTAAGTTTTAGGAAAGTTCTTACTATGGTTTTGCTGGAAATTTGAAATTCTTCAGTAAAGCATCCTTTCTAGAAAAAAGGAATAAATAACAATAATCTTAAATACAGAATCATTCCGGCAGACCCAAATCATTTCATAGGGATCAGGTAATGATTTCTTTCTTAAAATGCACTTTATCATAAACCTGATAGTTGAAACACAAACGTAATGAGTGTCCAGTAAAAGAAGAAAGCAAGAAAAGGACCGTCCAGGGGCACATGATAGGAAATCAATGTTTCTGTTTACATGTAGGTTCTAGACAAGAAGCCCCCCATTTTGGAACGACTTGCATGCCCACACTCAGTTTTAGGGGTTACTGAAAGCTCCACGATCGGCTGACTCCTGACACAGCTGTCTCTCCTCCAGCAGGGACGTTTAGGATCTTTTAAACTAGGTAAGGTTTTGGTGCTCGGTCATCTCTTGTCCTCGCCGCTGTCTTCCAAGTCTTTTCACCTAACCCAGCATCTCACAGGGTCCTCCCTTTCGATCAGTTTCCCCTACAACTCATGGACTTCTGATTCCATAGCTACCTTAGGGCTTTTTAAAATTTTTTAACAGCTTTGTTGAGATATAATTAATAAAGCATCCAATTCACCCATGTAAAGTGTATGCTTTGTGTGGTTTCAAATATACTCAGAGATGCGTGAAACCATCAATAAAGTCTATTTTAGAGCATTTTCATAGCCTTCAGAAGAAAGTCAGTGGCCCCATATTCCATCTCCCCAGCTCTAAGCAACTGCTAATCTACTTTCGCTCCAGATAGAGTTACCTACGCTGGGTGTTCAGATAGAGAATGAACTACGATGTGGTCATTTGTGACTGGCTCCTCCACTTAACACTGGTTTCAAGGTCCATTTCGGTTGTAGCATGGAGCAGGTGTTCACTCTTGGTGTGGTGGAGGAAAGTCCCCGGGGGAGCTGTACGTTGTGTTTACATACATTTGAGTTGTTTCCCATCTACAGTTACTGTATAGTAACTGTAGTTACTATGAATATGGCTGTTACAACCATTCACATACAAGGTCGTTGTGGACATATGTTTTCATTTCTCTTGGGTATACACACGTAGGAGTGCAGTTGCTTGATTATATGGTAACTCTGTGAGCGCTACTGGTGATTCAATGTTGGAATTCTATCCTCTCACCTGGGCTGGTTCCCCTCGACCAATGCACACCTTATCATAGGGATGGCCTCGGAACAGGCAACCTGTTCTTTCCTCCTGCATGAGGTGACCATGAGTGGGGCTGACTGGGCAGCAGTTAACAACAATGACAAGTCCAGGTTTTCTCATTTGAGGAACTACTCAAAGATGGTTTTCCAAAGCAGCGACACCATTTTAAACTCTTGCCAACCATGTAGAAAGGGTTCTGATTTCTTCATCTTTTCACCAACATTTAACTGCATTGTTGCCCTCTTCGCTAGGTGGTGTAGGGGTGGGCTGCTATTGGCAGTCAGCAGTTTGAAACCACCTTGAGTTCCTTGGGAGAGAAACAACGCTTCCTGCTTCTGTAAAAAGTAATAGTGACCCTGTCCTGTTGGGTGACTGTGAATCAGAATTGAGCTTTCCTCCTGGCTAGAAAGTACTACCTCACTGTGGTGTTGATTTGCATGTCCTTCATGATTGATGATGTTCAGCATCTCCTCACGGTCTTGTTGGCCCGTCATTTATATCTATTCTTTGGAAAAATGTCTATTAAAGTTGTTTGCCCACTTTTAATGGGGTTACTTGTTGAGTTATTATATATTTTGGATGCAGATCTCTTATAAATCTTATGTTAAAATTTTAAAATGCTTTCTCATTCTGTGGGTTGTCTTTTCACTTTCTTGATGATGTCCTTTGAAGCACAAAGGTTTGATTTTTGAAATTTTTCAATTTATCTATTTTTTTCCCCTTTCATTGCTCATGCTTTTCCTTTTATTTACAACTAATTTCTTTCAACAACGGTTTGATTTTTAGTGTATAAACTACAGTTTTTCTGGTGGCTTTATTCTTGAGTATTTCATTCTTTTTGATGTGCTTGTGAATGGAGTTGTGATCTTTAATTTCATGTTCAGATATTTCCTTGCAATTGGACCAGTGCTGACAGTGGTGATACCAGGAGGGTGGAGGGAGGGTGGGCTGGAAAGGGGGAATTGATCACAAGGATCTGCATATCACCACTCTCACCACTGGTCCTAAAGGGATCATCTGTCCTGGTTCCCTGTGTTTCTAGTTCCTATCTGTACCAGTGTACATCCTCTGATCTAGCCGGATTTGTAAGGTAGAATTGGGATCATGATAGTGGTGGGGAGGAAGCATTTAGGAACTACAGGAAAGTTGTATGTTTCATCGTTGCTACACTGCACCCTGACTGGCTCGTCTCCTCCCTGTGACCCTTCTGTAAGGGGATGGCCAGTTGCCTACAGATGGGCTTTGGGTCTCCACTCCGCACTCCCCTTCATTCACAATGCTATGATTGCAATGGACTTTTTACATTGATCTTTTATTCTGAAACCTTGCGGAACTTACTTATTCGTTCTAATAGGTTTTAACAGGTCCTTAGGAGTTTCCGTAGCGTTTCTGCGTTGGGCTGTGATCCACATGGTTGGCAGTTCCAAACCACCAGCAGATCCTCGGGAGAAAGTCTGGGCTTTCTACTCCCAGCATACGGGTAACAGTCTTGGAAACCCACAGTGGTCGCTATGAGTCAGCACTGGCTTGATGGCAGTGAGTCTGGTTTGGTTTTTTATTCGTGCCTCATTTCCCCGGCAAGAACCTCCAGAAACATGTGTCTAGAAGTGGTAAGAATGGACATCTGTGTCTTTCATGACTTCAGGAGTAAAACATCCATTCTTTCTATGATGTTAGCCATGAGTTGTTCACATGCCCTTTGTGAGGTTGAAGAAGTTTCCTTGTAATTCTAATTTACAGAGTGTTTTTATCATAGGAGTTGGATTTTTTTTAAATGCTTTTCTTGCAGCTACTGGGATGATCGTGTGATTTCGCCCCCTGTTGTTATTAAAGTAGTTGATCTATTAAAGTAGATGATTATCAAATTTTTAATTTACATCCTTGAGTGAAATGCTGTTGGTAATAGTGTATAGGTTGCTGATATTTTATGGAATTTTTTTCATTCCAATCCCAAAACAATATGAGTCTGAATTTTTATTTCTTGTGACCCTGATGCTTTAAAAGTATGTAAACTGTAATGTCAGTGTAGATTCACTTTGATTAAATTCAGGTCAAACATTTTCGATGAGAATAAGTTATAGTTGATGTGTACTTTGTATTGTGTCACACAGTAAATGATGGTAAGCTGTCCACAAGTAGCTAGGCTAAGTTTAAGTACTTGGTGAAGCAGTGACTACAGACACTTGGCTAAAGTAGTTACCACAGAGCTATCTATGGTACGGTACATTGTCCCCTTCACAACCATCCATCGTTGGCTGCTATTCTGTCACCACACACAACTATCTTGTTCCAATAAACTACTACCTAGTGGTTTTAGTACTATGGCTAATCATTTATTATAAAGAGTTGAAATAGTTAATTTGTACTTCTATCATTCTACAGTCTTTTGTTTGTTTTTAAAAACCGTTTCATGGTCCTTTTTTTATTCTTTGTTGAGGATCACCCAGTACTTGTCAATCTTTCTTTATTCAGAATGTTAGTCATCGTTTTGATGCACACCTTATCCTGATATCGGCTTGTGCTGTAACACACCCCTGCAACTGGGCTCCTATGTCTTTTTGACATCCTCCCATGAGTCCTTGAGGGCTTCCTGGCTTTGTGCCTGAACAAGAATTCCTGAAAATGCTTCATATCGCTTGTGTGTCCACTAATCAAACAGTGCTCTTCCTCTAAGCTCAGGGCACCGTCCCAATTGGAAAGCGAGGGGATGGAAAGGAGGAAAAGCAAAGGGTGGTAGCAAACTCTGTGTGTAAACCCTGCCTGAATCTTTTACTTCCCCCAGATGCCTCACACACAAGCCAATGACAAGCAACCTCGCTAACGATGAAACAACTGAGCTTAAATCTGAACTGCCACCCGAAAAGCAGAACTTGTAGTTAGGGACAGAGCTGAAAATATTTCAGGAAACATTCATAATAAAAGATGCTTTCTTCTAAGTTGTATCAATACTCTTCTGGAAAGTAAGATTTTAAAACTAATATTAGGGTGTTACAAATGCATTCTGTAATCGAGGGAGGTTTGTTAAGCACAGGATTTTGAAGGCAGGTAATTAATAAAAGAAATCCATCAGTTATAGATAAATTGCAACAACAAATAACAACTTGCAATGTGATATCGAGGTGAGAACATGGTTTGCTACATACCTGAATTATTTCATACAGATGTACCCGAACACTCCCTAACAAAACAGGAAACGCGTCTGTGTTTTCACATTCCAGTAGTTCCAGGAAAATATTATTTCGCACATCATCTTGACGTCTGGGAACCTCAACATTAAAATGCATAGAATTAAAAGCATTAAATTTGTAGTCTGAATTTCAGATATAATGTCTGAGTAAATACATATATCTATTATACTGTGCGCACACCTAGTGAGTAGTTTTTGCCACTAGCCTTGTAACTTTTCAATTTCATGGTCACATAGATGCTAATGTCAACACCAATCAGGATCTTGTTTGTCTGATGTCAGTCTTGTTGAAATACCATTGTTGACATTTGCTCTTTTTTTTAACTCAATAGAAAAGTTCATTCTCATCTCTTTACTGAAACTATTATCAAAGGCCAGACATATTCTTTTTGGTCTGTTTTTTTGTTTTTAGCCTTTCAAAAGAATATATACCATCACTTCATTCAAAATTCTCTCAACCTGTGTGTCAAATGCTCTTTACTTTCAGTAACAATATTGCTCCCTCTGGAATTTTCAGGTGGTCAATAAGTGTCCCTCCCATCCTGATGCCACTTTATTCTGAGCTACAACCCTGACAACACCTGTCTCTCGCTGTAAACTGTGCAGTGTTCTATCGGAATGCCTGCCTCGTCATCAATGTTCAGGATCGGGCAAAGGAAGTGCTCTGGGACTTCCTTCTGTGTGTTGTTTATCAGTGTTTGTCACGATCCAGAGTCATGTGCCTTTGCATTGTCAATAACACACTTCGCATAGTCAACAAAACACATGTAAACATTTTTAAAAAACCCTCTCTCAACCTTAAGTTCAGTAGCACAATATTATTATTATGTGATCTTTAAAAAGCCATATACTTTTCTTCACCACCACCCCCCCAAGATTCTAGGTGCTTTTTATTGTATCTTTCCCTATAATTGTTTGTTATGTTTCTCTTCCCCTGAGAAATGAAGAGAGAGAGAGAAATTCACTGTCAACTTGTGTGTCTACCGAGAGGTGAAGAAAACAGGCTCAGGTTTTAGCAGTTTGCCTTACAGATTATTAAAACCAATCTGGCTTCTGGAAAGTACACATGCTGAATACAGTATTGTAAACAGTTTCTCAAAAGCATAAACGAGCTCATGGACAGGTAAAGGGAAGTCAGGTGAAACTCCCAGGAGCAGCAAGTGCAGAGAGGGAAACCAGAGTCTGAATTCACTTGCATCTGCAGGCATTTCCCAGCCAGGTGACCTAGAACTGCAACTCTGAAGGCTTTAGAACACAGAGAAAAGAACAGGTGGACACAACCCGGACTTCCGGGAAGATGGCGCCGATGTGGAGTCCCCTGCCTTGATCTCCCCTTGTGTGGCACAGAGAGCAACAGGAGCCAGCTTGAAGGAGACCTCACAGTGTGTGGAGTCACCCCCTCAAGAGGGGGGGAATGGGAGATGATCATGCACTTGACGCGCTACAACATCGAGACAAGGCTGGGGCAAATCAAGCCCTCCGACCACCCCACCCCAACCCCCAATAGGAATGGAAGGAGGTCCTTGCTGGACACCAAGCTAAGAACTGGGGAGAGGAGCACCTGCATTTTGGAGGAGAGGCTGACCGTTCTGTTGGCGAGTAAGGTGGGTGATTGGGGAGAGGTGACCTCCCATCAGGAAGGGGTGCTTCACTATGACAGTAGGGAAGCTAGGGGGTGAATGGACCAGATTTTAGGTTCCTGGGCAGACTCTATGAATCCGTTTGTACCCAACTCTCGGTGAACCATGCCATGGACTAAACAGCATAATGACTTTGGATGCTGACCGTGCAGAGTGGCATAACCCAGGGGCAACACCAGAAGGGCTTGGCACAGAGGTCCAGCTGAATGAAGTGAGCCCTGCCTCAAGGTTGCCTGCACCCTTGAACTGAGAACTGGGGTGATCACGAAGAGTGGCCGCCCTGGGACTGTGGAGGTGGCCGATAATGGACCCTGGGGGAACCCCTGGCTCGGGGTTGGCCAATGTGTGGGGGGAAGACCCAGGATCACCCTGTGTTTGGTGTCTCAAGCACCACCCCCCCACCTTAGAGCAACATGACAGGGTTTGCTCTGTTGAGTAGGGATCTGCACTTGGAGGAAGTGATCTAGTAAGTTTCCCCCTGACACCAAGCGATTGAATTAGATGATAATGTGGATGATGTACCAATAAAACTGCACATTAAAAAAATAAAGCCTGTCCCCAACCCTTCTCCCATAAAGCAAAGAATATAGCCTCAGTGACGAGATATACCTTTCTCCCAACTCATCCACAGAAGACTGCAAGAAAGGCTTGCATGGCTGAGCAGGATAAGGGCAGAAACTCTCTCAGAAGCTGTAAACAAAAGCCAATTCATAGAGAATAGAAGCATAACGTCACCTCTACCAGACTGTACACACATCTTCTTGTATTTAGCTTGGAGTGATCTGGAACTCAGAGTGGCCTACAGGGACTACGTCGGTGCTCTCTCTCCTACAGCACAGCTTGAACCACTACCTGTTTTTCAGTTAGCAGCCCCACACTTAACCTATTTTGCTACCAGGAGTCCATCTTCCTTAGAGCGGAAACTTTCATCACAGATCTCTAAGAAATCCAGAAAATCATGGTTCCAAGATTTCTAAGAAAGCCAAGGAAAATGAGCAGGTTCCAGGAGAATTTCAAATTTCCATGCACGGCACTCATCTATCTAAATTTGGCTACTCAAAATGATGTTTTCTTTGTTTATCTTTTTTTCATTCTTTTTTCCTGATTGTTCTTCCTGCAGATTAGTATTGGGAGATTCACCTTCAATTTCACTGATTCTCTTTTTCATTGATTCAGTCCTACTTTTTTGCCCTTTCTATTATCTACTTCTGAAATCTTATTATTAATTTCTATTTGCTGCTTTTGTATAGCTTCCAATTTTGTATTTATTTTGTCCTTCTGGTCTTGTAGACATTACTAAAAGGAACTATTTTACATGTGATGAGAATTCCAGAACAGGAAGAGACTCCCCTCCCCACTCCCCAAAAACGCAGAGAAAATTGTTGAAACATACTCAAACTTTCCCAAAGCAAACACAAGGAAATCATCCTGAAAGCTGCTCAGGAAAAAAACAAAAAACACTGACTGACAACTGAATACCAAAAGAACTAAGCTCTGATTTCTTGGCAGAAACCATGAAGGCAAGAAGGTAATGGGATAACATGTGTAAAATTCTGAAAGAAACAAAAAATCCAACCAAGAAATATATACCCAGCATAAAACTGTCCCTTAGATATGACAGTGAAACTGGAACATTTCCAGGTAAATAAAAAGTAAAGAAATTTGTTGAAAACAGACAAACCTTGCTAAAAGGAGCTCTTCAGACAGAGAACCAACAGTGGCAGACAACAGCCGGAGGTTCACATACAGACTAAACCACCCAGGAATCAAACCAGATATAGACGTACCTGAAGGACACCTACAAGACTGACAATAGGGAAGCAGAGATATCAATTTGCAAAGAAGATAATTGCAAAATAAAAAGAGACAATAAAGTGTAGTTGTAGAACTTAAACTGGAGACAAAGTCAACTAGAGTTCAAGATAGAAGAGGTCTTTTTCAACTTGGGAGGAAATAAATTATCTGGTAATCTCAAAGCAAATTAGCAAACTTTTTCATCAAGATAAAAAAAGAGAAAAATGATAAAGATTTACTAAAAACAATAAAGGGAATGATGACAGAGATCTCAGCAAAAAAAATTATGTGGAACAAAGAACCAGGAGCACCACACACCCACACCCACGAAGTAGCAAACGACAGCTATAAAATCATACTTATACATAATTAAGAGTGAGTAGAAATGAATTAAAACGAACCAAAACAGAGAGTTGTGGAATGGATAAAAAAAACCAGGACCCATCAGGTATGCCGTCTACAAGAGGGACACCTTAGAACAAAGAAAAAATAGACTAAAACTCAAAGGGCGAAAAAAAAACAAGCAATTGACAATCATAAAGAATTGGAATTGTCCTTGTTAAATGCCACAGTGTCCGTTCCCATGGTGACCCTATGCACAACACAACAAAGCGCTGTCCAGTCCTGGGTGATAGTCACAACGGTCTCTACGCTTGAGCCCATTGCTGCAGCCACTGTGTCAGTTCATCTCCTTGAGGGCCTTCCTGGCTTTGGCTGCCCCTCAACTTGACCAAGCAAGGTGTACTTTTCCAGGACTGGTCTCTCCTGACCATATATCCAAAACAGGGGAGACAAAGTCTTGTCATCCTTGCCTCCAAAAGGCCCTGTGGCCGTCCTTCTTCCAAGATAGATTTAGCAACCCCCATGGCATTTTCAAGAATTCTAACACATTAGTTCTTCTTTGGTCTTTCTGATTCAATCTCCAATTTCACATACATATGAAGTAATTGAAAATACCATGTCTTGGGCCAGGTGCACCTTAGTCCTCAAAGAAACATCCTTGCTTTTCAACACTTTCAACAAGTCTTGTGCAAGATTTACCCAACACAATGCATCTTGTGGTCTCTTGGCTGCTGCTTCCACGATCATTAGTTGTGGATCTAAGCAATAATAAATCCTTGACAACGTCAACCTTTTCTTTGCTTATCGTGACGTTACCTATTGGTCCAGTTGTGAGGGTTTTGGTCGTCTTTACATTGAATTGTAATCTAAACTTATAAAGACCTCTAATGAAAACATAGGTGAACTTAAAAGTATTAACAAATAGTATAGATACACTACTGAACATAACCGAAAACATACCCACAGCCGAAGACAAGCTAAGTGAATGGGACCTCCTTAAAACTAGACACTCGGGCATATCAAAAACCTCCACCTATCACAGTGCTGGAGAGAGTAGGAGGGAAAAACCACGGAACAAAATTCAAAATCCTAGAAGAGTCCAGGTTTACAAATCTGACAGAGCTAGCTGGGAGTCTAGTGACCCCTCCGCTCTGGAGCTGAGCTCCTATCTGTGACAGATAATCAGCCCTTAAGAGCAAAAGAGCAGCCTTTACCCAACCACAAGGTTCTTAAGACAGGAGGAGGAGGAATGGAAGCAGGGGCCCAGAGAGAAAGCAAATCAAGAGAGAATAAGATCGCGACGCATGAGTTGAAAGAAAATACGTATGGCTTCTTGATGTGAGACTATTGATCTACTCTACAAACAGTCACGTGTTTCACAAAAAAAGGGTTTTGTTTTGTTGTTGTTGTTTAATTCAGCAAAAAAAGTAAGAGAGAACCCACAGACTGGGGGCAAAAATATGGCAAAGGAAAAATTTCTAGAATTTATAGAAAACTTCAACACCTCAACAACTAAAATGCAAAAAATGCAACAGAAAAAAAAATGGACAGAGGGCAGGAACAGACAACAAAGAAGGCATTCAGACAGCCAACAAATACATGAGGAAATACTCAAAGTCAGAAGTCATTGACGAGATGCTCATAAAAACAATGAGGTGTCATCTCACCCTCGAATGTCTTTTAAAAATACACAAAAGCCAGCTGGCAAGGAGGGAGTAGACAAACTGGTAGCATCATACGCTGTCGATGGGACTGTAAAATGGAACAACCACTATGGAAAGGGGCTATAACATGGACTTACAACGGTGGAAACAGAAATACCGTATGATCCAGTAAGGCTACTACTAGGTATAAATTCTAGAAAGATTGGAGCATGACACAAATAGATATATGTCTACTGTGTTCACTGCAGCACTGTTCACAACAGCCAAAATAGGGAAACAACCCAATTATCCATCAAATAGAAAAACGGACACACTAAGATACATACATACAATGGCATACTATACAATGGTAAAGAATGTAATGAATGTAAAAATACCTCATGACATGGGTCAACCTGGGTGAAGGGAAAGGCAATATAAAACAGAAGTCAGCCCATTCTAGTTTTTATTAGTGTCTGCTTTTTCCCATTGAGGTGTTTCTCTGTTTTACTCTGTTATTGTTGTTCAGGTGTGGTGTGTTTTTCTGTACATGAAATCCAGGATAGGTAAATGTATAGAGACAGGAACCAGGCTGATGATTTCTTAGGGCTATGGCAGGGGAGGCTGGGGGGGGATGGCGGGCTAATAATAATGAGTACAGGAATAAAGAAAATATTCTAAAGCCGTGGTGAGGATTGCGTGTCTTTAATGTATTGAAACCATTAAATTGTGTAGTATGTGAGGTGTATGTTGATAAAACTGTTGAAAATTTTTAAGAAGACAGGTCAGCAAAAAGTGATGAATAAAATGATTTAAAACAAAATAAAACAAATGATGAAGGCAAAGGAAGACATTAGAAGTACAAGATTTGAAGGCAAAGGGGTAAATATGGTTCTATAGAGATTTCTGCAGTCACACTAATGCATAGACGGAAATGCAAGTTGAACAGGTGTAGGAATGAGAACGTGTCTATATGTCTATAAATATACACAGTTTGACAGATGACACTGTTTACGTCTAAGTATGTATTTACCTGTGATGAAAATATAGTACAACAGACAGGCAGTACACTGATGAACCCCCTTGGACACCTTGAGCGACTGAATCTGGACCTGGGGCTCAGACCCTAGTCTCGGGGGACACCAAGATCAATTGACATAACAAAGCCCACCAATAAAATATTCTAAATCCTGCTTTGGCGAGTAGTGACTGGAGTCTTCAAAGTTGTGAGCAGCCTCTAAGGTGCAACTCGTGGCTTTTCCCCACTCGGAGCAAAGAAGAGTGAAGAACATCCGAGCACAGGAAAAATTAGTCCAAGGGACTAATGGGCCATTCGAACTTCCATCTCCACAAACTTCAGACCAGAAGAACTCAAGGGTACCTGGCTGCTGCCGCGAACAGCTCTGAAATGGATCACCCTAGAAGGTTCTGGGTAGTGGGGTGGTGGTGGAGGGTGGGGGGATGAGAAACAAAACATAAAATTATAAAAAATACCAATTTGCTACTTACACAGACTATATGATCTTTAGTTACCTTTCTAGCTTGGGGTTGAACTCATCCCTGTGCCTTAATTTCTAGCCAAACAATAGACAAGAGAGAACAATAACACCAGGGAGGCACACACCCCCTAGAATATGCAACCATGAGAGACCCAAAGGGCAGCATGTCCCCAGGACAAAGATCAGAAGGTGAGGCAAGAGGAGGAAGAGAAACAGGAAACACAGGAAGGATGAGGGACCGGGGTGATATTTGGTGGGGACTGCAAACAGTGGCATGAAAAAAAATGTGTAGAAATTGTTCAATGGAAAACAAACGTCCTTTGTAAACCTTCACCCAGTTCACAAGGTGAAGTTAAAATTAAAAACATTAAAAATACACTTTTTCAATTTTCCTTTAATCATCAATATACTATCACATTGGGCTTTGGTGGTGCTGTTAGGTAAGCATTGACTTGCTAACCGCAAGGTCAGTGGTTCAAACCCACTGACTGCTCCACTAGAGCAAGATGAGACTATCTGCTCCTGTGAAAATTTATAGTCCCAAAAATCCTACATAACAATCAACTCAAAAGCAATGGGTTGGGTTATCACGTTGGTAAATAAAAGTCTTTGTATATCAGAAATATTAACCAAACATGTACTCTCTCTGTGTGTTGTTTACATGCATATTCCATTAAGAGAGAGCAAGAGCTTGAGAGAGTAGGGTGGGGGTGGTCTATGTTAGGGTGGGCCCAGGAGAGGAGAGGAAGAAAGGCAGAGGCGATAAAAAGGAACGGATGGAAGATGGAGGATGGAGATGGTTAGATGGGAGGAAAGAGCATTTAAAGAAAAATACATTGTGTAATAAAGACTCAAGACCATAGATGGAACCATATCGGGGAAGAAGTCCAATCAGATTATGCATTTTGGAAGAAGCACACCAGCCTACGCCGACACGAATGCTGAAGACGAGGTGGGTGGGTGCATGGGCAAGTGCGGTGAAGAAAGCTGTCGGTGCCTGGTTGTCAACATATATAAAAGCTGGGGTCCTATAGGCTGGAAGATAAACAAGGGGCCATCTAACTGAGAAACAACAAACCCCACATGGAAGAAGCACATCAGCCTGTGAGATCACAAGGGGTTGAAGGGATCAGGGATCAGGCATCAAAGACACACACAAAAAAAATCATAGCATTGTGAATGATGGGGAGTACGAGTGGGGACCCAGGGCCCATCTGTGGAAAATTGGACATCCCTTGCAGAAGGGCTGCGGGAAGGAGATGAGCAGTTAGGGTGCAGTGTAGCAACGAAGAAATATGCAATTTACCTCTAGTTCTTGAATGCTTCCTCCCCCCCACTACCATGATCCCAATTCTACCTTACATATCCAGCTGGACTGGAGGATGTACACTGGCACAGATAGGAACTGGAAATGCAGGGAATCCAGGACAGATGAACCCCTCAGGACCAGTGGTGAGAGTGGCGATATCAGGAGGGTGGAGGGAAGGTGAGGGAGAAAGGGGGAACAGATTACAAGGTCTACATATCGCCTCCTCCCTGGGGGACGGACAGCGGAGAAGTGGGTGAGGGAGACATCAGATGGTGTGAGATATGACAAAATAATAATTTATAAATTATCAAGGGTTCAGTGGGGAGGGGGGAAGTAGGGAGGGAGGGGGAGAAATGAGGAGCTGATGCCAAGGGCTCAAGTAGAAAGCAGGTGTTTTCAGAATGATGATGGCAACATATGTACGAATGTGCTGGACACAATTGATGTATGTATGGATTGTGATAAGAGTTGTATGAGCCCCTAATAAAATGATTTTTGAAAAGGTTATGCATTTTATAGCAAACTATTTATTCACGTAGCCCATAGTATGTGACTAGAATCTGTAAGATACCAACACAAAGATACTGTTTTACTTTCCGACCCACTGAAAGAAAGACAAAACAACTGACGTAATTAGTGTAGGAAATATGAAACTACAAAGATGCTTATAGAGAGAACTTTAAACATTACCTGTACAGAAAAATATTTCACGTCATCAAATTTTGCAGTTATGTTTTTTTGGTCTTGGGATAGAAAAGTACACATTCTTGTAATTTTCACCACATTGCTGATAGTGAGGCGAATGAACAAGTTAGTGTAGTGTAGTCTTGAAAGGACTGGAAACAGAATGATATTCAGGAAGCAAGTCTTGGTGTAAATGAGCATTAGACATTATAAAATTAATCCACTAAATGTATTCCAGAACCTAAGAGTAAATTGAGTAGCCATTGAAGCGAATTGCCAAGCAAATTACACAACAGAACAAAGTAAGAAAAGCAGGTGGTTCTTTGGATCACTTCTAATTTTTAGCCTCACATTTTCATAATGACTTTGAAAAACTTTCTATCTATGGATTTTAAGGAGACTAAACATTTGCAATATGTAGTTGGATTTTTCCTAAGCAAAATTGTGTAGACACTTTAAAAGTCAGAAGTATGTCACCTGAGAATACTTTATTTTTTAATTAGAGACAACAGAATTTAAGGGAACGTGTTCTACGTTCCAATCCACTTTAATTTATTCTTTAACTCAGACCATTTGGTGTGTAATGTTATTCTTTTCCTAGCATTCTATGCCTTAAAACAATTTTGATTCCAAGACTGAGTCACGACCTTCAATAATTCTCTTTTTACAGAACTCTAATTCTCTCTATTCGAAAAATTAAAGGACCCAAATTGAGCCTAGCTTTTTAAAAAAGCTAATAAGCATGCTGTTTATTTCAAACCATCCTGTTTTTAAATGTCTAAAGAAAGCACAATTGTTGCTTATAAATAATGATCATCATCCAAAGGATATATACCATTCCTTTAACTTATAAGGATGCCCGTGAAGAGTGACCTAGCGGGTTACATGTTGGGTTGTTCACACCAATGTCATCCTATCAAACCCATCAGCCAGTCCAAGGGAAAAAGACGGGCTGTCTGCTCCCATAAAGGTTTGCAGCCTTGGAAGCCCACAGAGGCAGTTCCACTCTGTCCTGTTGGCCCACTATGAGTCAGAATCAACTTGATTTCAGTGAGTTTGAGTTGGTTTGGTTTATTTAACCTATATGATGACTGAGGTGGCTTACAGATGGCTGGAAATCTTTTGTCACTCTCCATATCAGAAAGTGTTGATTTCTCCTGCCCTTGATCTGGACTGGCCCTGTGGCCACTTTAACCAACAGAATACAATGGGAGTGGCCAGTGACCGGGGCGCCAGCACTAGGAGGGGTAAGAAGGAACACTCCTAAGGTGCAGAATGTCTGGGGGTGGCAAAGACTTCAGTAATGTAGCTTTCTAAAATAAGAATTAACCTTTCTTTACCTTCCACAAACCCCCCCCCAACAATATTAATAATAACAAGCCTTGTGACTGCAGAGAGAGTAAAAGTTCCAACTCTTCTAGCCTCCCAGCTGAGAGCAGTCTCTCAGGCGCCCCATCAAAGCACCTGACACATGAATTGATGGATGTTCCAACCCACTTGAAAACTTGCAAGATAACTACAGTCCCGGCTGTAACAACATGCAACTCAAATACTGTTATTGATAAGATAACATTTTAAGCCTCTACATTTGGGAGTGGTTTGTAACACAGCAGTAGGCAACAGAGCAGTGCTATCTGACCAGCCCGTGGTCCTTAAATCAGCAGGAAGGATACTCTGGGATGAAAAATTTCTGCAATTCTTGATATGAACAGCCAGGCAGCCAACCTAAAACAGCCAAAATGAAAACACAGAGAGTGAATACACTGAAAGGTTAACTGAGGGTCAGTTTCATTCTACATAGAATGAGATTTCAAAGCAGAAAATCCCACTTTGTATGGAAAGCATTCAAAAGCAGAGATGGAAGGAAAACCCACAGGCAGGAGTTGTGTGAAGTCAGCCTAACATTCACAAGAACACAAAGTAAAAGAGTTCGTTATCACATTGGGCCATCGCCACTCTTTGTATTGTCTTTACAGTCTTTGAGAATTGATCAAATGCGGTGTTTCAGATAAACCCTTTTATCTAATGTCCTGAAGTCCCTTTATTCATTCGACATTCCTTGAGCAATCATATGCCAGAGGCTGTGAAATATTAATCACTTCTTCTTATAAGAGGAGCTTCCAAATGTCAAAGAAAACTGTGCCTTGGGTTTCATCATAAAATCAAATGCAAAATGAGTAGAGGAATAATTACTTACTAATACACAGTGTTGGCCAAATATATGATCATGCTCAATCTGTTTAGATGTACTTATTTGTTTTTAAATAAAGTAAAAGGGAGGCACTGGAAATGAAGGGTTATTGTAATGGGTCTAGTTTCTGTATGGGGCGATGTAAAGCTTTGGAAACAGGGTGGTGGTTGCGCCCCACCAAAAAAAAAAAAGTAAAAATAGTGGCAAAACTATATTAAACATTGTAAAACAAAGGCGAGTCCAATAATATTTAAAAATGTAACTTCCTTTAGAGAATTCATATTAAAGAATTGTAGTGGGGAATGTGGGACCAAAGATACCACTGCACTGGAATGATGAAATCCTAAGAAGAATGTTTAGTAGTGGATTTCTAAGGGAACGAGAGAGAGAGAGAGGAAAATTTCTAATTTTCCACTTTCAAAGGCAAGTAGCATATACTCCTGAACCCAAACAGGATTTAAAGTGGTATTGCTACAGAGGAGCCATGAATTCTTGTGTGTTGGTTTTTGTCTTAAAAGTGGGCTGCTGAAGGGGACCTGGGACAGAGAGGTTTGGCTTCACCTTGTTGGCTGACGTTTCTCCTCAGAAATATTTTTTATCATGAGAAGTACCTAGTGCATAGAAAGCAGAGATCCAAGACTCCATCTGCTTCTAGAACTTTGTGTGACCTATTTTGATAAAGTAACATACTGAGATAAAATACTAATTAATTACAGGCCCCCCTGTCAAGTATTTCAGCATAAAGCCACAAGCAACTATCCTAATCTTTCTTTTATTTTCACAATCTGTTATGCTTTTAAATAATAGACCAACATCTTTTAGAAGAGATCATGGATTTCTATTGAACAAAGAAAAAAAAATTTAACATGCAAACATATAACAGTGACCATTCACCGATCATTCACATAACAAATGTTGATACAGTTTTAGAGAGGCCCCTCTTCACACTCAAAGCAAAGGCTCTGTCAACATCTTCACCCCAAACCGCCTTACACATGCAGGACCACAGTCAGAAAAGTGTTCATTACTAAAGTGTGTTGCCTCCAATTGTAGCATTCAGGGGTTTGTTTGCTTGTTTGTTTTCACTTTCGTACACTGAAGATACCATGTTACCTCCAGAAACAGTAGCAGGCTGTAATGACATCATCGTGCTTTACACATGTAAACACCAAGCAAATCCTTCAGGATGAATCCCAGAACTTTCAGAGAAAGAGGGTGTAACTGAATTTACACTTTGAAAGGTTCTATCAATCCCGTGCCCAGCATCCTTCTCAACATTTTCCAGATGAGTTTTAAGGGGAGCTATTTAATATCTGGCAATATATCATTCAAATAAGGAAAACAAGAACTCTCCAAAGTTAGTAAATATAGTTGACATCCCAATATTCTTCAAAACACCAGTTCTTAAAAGATAAGGAAGTCATTTGCAAGAGTACTGTACGTGCATCCAGTTGGTTCTAACTCATAGCGACCTGTGCACAGCAGACCCACCACGGCCTGGTCCCGCCGTCCGCACACTCTTGTTATGTTTGAGCCACTGTCAAGCCCACGGTGCTGATTCGCCTCCTTTAGAGGCCCACCACTTCTCCAGGGATGGCTGCCTCCTCGTAACATACAGAGCACGTGAGATGAAGTCTCGCCGCACTCCCTTCTAAGGAGCATTCGTAGGTCAAGTTCACTTTAGCCTTTGAAGTGACACCCTTGTTCTTGAATACCTAAAAGAATTCTTGTGCAGCAGATTGGCCTGATGCAATATGTTATCTGATTAATTGACTGCTACTTCCATGAACAGTGAGTGTGGATTCAAGCAAAAGCATCCATTTATCATGGAAGGATGGGTTTGGGGAAGATTTGGGTGTTCTGCAATATGTTATCTGATTAATTGACTGCTACTTCCATGAACAGTGAGTGTGGATTCAAGCAAAAGCATCCATTTATCATGGAAGGATGGGTTTGGGGAAGATTTGGGTGTTCTTTTAAGTTGTAATCTACACTGGAGGCTGAAATCCTTGACCTTCCTCAGCTTCAAGTGCTCACTTTCAGCAGGAAAGGCTGAGACATCTGCATCTTGCAGGCTGGTAATAAGCCTTCGTCCAATCTTCATACCACAGTTGTCTTCACGCAGTCCGGCTTCTCTGTTCATTTACTTGGCATACAGATTGAGTAGTGTGATGAGAGGACCAGGCCTAACACGCCCCTTTCCTGAGTTAAGCCATGTTCTGTTTGCACGACTGCCTCGTGGTTCATGTGGAGGCTCCACATGACTAGTGTCCTGGACCCCATTCAAAAGCCTGTGTTACAGACATTGCTATGGAAACACAATCCTGTACGTACCTTGAGACCAAAAATGATTCCCAAGATCTTTTTTCTACAGGTAGATTCAGACCTAAAAGCTGCCTTAGGCTAGGTGCTCGAGAGAAGCAAAATCAGTGAAGTTTGTGTGGGTGCGCACACTCACATGGGGGAGATCAGAAAATTCATGGGGAAAAATAGAATTAAAAGACAGTGAGCATTCTCCATGAACTTCTCAGAGTCCACTTGAATATGTAGCTATGGAGAGGTATTTATCTCAAGGAGCTAGTAGCTCACACAGCTGTGTAGTCTGGCAAGTCTCAAATCTGTGAGTCAGGCATCAGGCTGGAGGCTCCTCCTGACTTACATGGTTGCAGAGGCTGATGAACTCAAGATCGGCACGTCAGATGGCAGGCTGCTGAAGCTGGCAAATCCTATATTCCAAACGTTGTTCTAATCATTTTAGTGGGGGCTTGTACAATTCTTATAACAATCCATCCTTCCATTGTGTCAAGCACGTTTGCACATTTGTTGCCATCATCATTCTCAAAACATTTTCTCTCTACTTGAGCCCTTGATATCAGCTCATTTTCAAACATTTTTTAAATTTCGATTATGCAACATCAATCTCATTTCCACTTGGTAGTCCATGTTCATCAAACCAGTCAATGTAACGCTTTTCTTGGCCAGAGACATGAGGAACTGAAAATGGTTGTACGGCATTCTTAATTTCTAGTCCAGTGGACTCCATTTGGAACAGTGGCCTCTAGGCCTGCAGAAATTAAGGTGATAAGGTCAGGAAGCAAAAGTTTTGCAAGTGGGTCACTAGGCGTAATAGGAAGTGGTGCCACTCCCATCTCTACCCCTTGATTCCTGGGACCATGAATTGTGGCTATGGGAGAGATGGCACCATATTATTTGGATGCTGGCTTAGAGCATATACAAACTCCTGGAGAACATTATCCAAACTCTGCAAAGTGTTACCACCAAGCTGGCACTGTGACTGTGTTTAGAATGCCATTCCGTTTTTATATCAGGCCATTTGCTGCAGGAAGGTGGGGGACATGGTAACACTAGTCAATTCCACGAGTTTGACTCATTGCCACACCTCACTTACCATAAAGTGGGTTCCTTGATCTGAGGTGATGCTGTGCAGGGATACATGATGTTAGATAAGGCATTCTTGAAGTCCACAGATGGTAGTTTGGGCAGAAGCATTGTGTACAGGAAGGTAAATTTCCATCCAGAGTAAACATCTATTCCAGTCAGAACACAGTGCTGCCTTTTCCGTGGTGGAAGGGTAATGAACCTGCTACCAGATTGCTGGGTGATGGCCTCTAGGAATGGCACTCCTGGATGTCCAGGATGCAGCTGGCAGATTGGACATTCAGTAGTGGCTGTAGTCAAGTCAGCCTTAGCAAGTAAAAGTTCATGTTGCTAAGCCCATGCATAACTTTCCTCTCGACCACCATAGCAACTTTGCCCATGAGCCAATGGTGTGCTGACAGGCCTGACTGGGAGAGAAAGGCCGACTGGTATCCATAGAACATGTCGTCCGAGTCACTTGATTGTTCAAATCCACCTCTGCTAATGTAACCCTTTAATGAGAGACCATGTGATACACAAATATCTTCATTTCTTGGACCCATGCAGAGAGGTCTAGCCATAACTCCTTGTCACAAACTTTCTAATCATGTACCCTCTAAGTCCTTGACCATCCAGCCAAACTATTGACTACAGTCCATCCTTAATCAGTAGACAGTCCTCCATCTGGTCATCTCTCCTTCCAGGAAAAAGGACCAATCAGGTGCACTGTTCTGCCCTTTGGGAGGATTTCTCTTCACAATTATACTTCGAGGAGGTTCCAGACAGTGTCAGTAGTGCTGTCCACTTTTGAGTGGCACTTGCATATTTCACAGGACCATTTGTAACCAGCCATGAGTTTTCTCTTCCTCAGTCAGCAAATCACAAGAAACTCCCCACAGTAGGTAGGTGCAGGCTATATTGGAAGGCAAGCAATGTAACAGGAGTAAGGATATGGGCATTTGGGCCACTTACTCATGAACTTCAACTCCTGCTTGAACTTGGTCTTATGCATATCACTACTGTTTAATAATACAGTGTTGCTGGGTATGCCCAACTTTATGACTCCAAGGATCCGATAACATACAGTTTATGATGAGTTGCTCAGGCCACCTAGTAACCTAATTGCCTATAGTTAAGCTTTCAGTCTCTATGAAGGCCCATTTACAAGTCAAAACCTGATTCTCAAAAAGAAAGAAGTCATCTGAAGAGGGTGGCAGGACTTTGCTCCCAAATTCCAGTGGTCTGCACCAGGAGAAGCCTGCTAAAGACTGCAAGTCGCATTTTGAGCGGACACTTCCGGGACCGTTAGATCAGCGGAGCACATAGCCCAAGTAGCAGAGCAGCTTGCATTGTGTCCTCAACTCCTTCTGGAGCCTTCTCTTGCTCTGGCTCACACTCAAAGCTGACATCTTTTCAAATGATCCAGCACTGCTGTAAAAGAAACACTACAATTCCGGGGCCTAAGCAAACATTTATGCTCTCAGATGGCTGTTGTGCTTAAATGAGTTGGTCCCGATCTGTAGCGGCTGTATGCACAAGAGAACGAAGCACTGCCCCATCCTTGTCATCATGCTTGTGCCTGAGCCCACGGTTGCAGCCACCATGTCCATCCATTGCATTGAGGGTCTTCCTGTGTTTCACTGCTCCTCCACTTTATCAAGCATGATGTCCTTCTCCAGGGACTGGTGTCTCCTGACAATCTGACCAAAGCAGGTTAAGACCACGTCTTTGCCTCTAAGGAGCACTCTGGACATACTTCTTCCAAGACAGATCGGTTTGTCCTCTTAGCAGTCCATGGCCTGACTTTCAACATTCTTCTCTAGCACCGCAATTCAAATGCATAGATTCTTCTTTGGTCTTCCTTATTTAATGTCCAACTTTCACATGCATCAGAGGAAATGGAAAATTCCATGGCTTGCATCCGTAGTCCTCAAAGTCACATGCTTGCTCTTCAACACTCTAAAAAAGGTCTTGTGCAAGAGATTTACCTAATGCCACTTGTCTTTAGAGCTCTTGGCTGCTACTTCCATGGGTGTGGATGTGGATCCAAGCCAGACAAAATCCTTCACAACTTCAACCTTTTTTCCATTCACCATGGTGGTACCTTTTGGTCCAGTTGTGAGGATTTCGGTCTTCTTGGCAATGAGTTGCAATCCACACTAAAGGCGGCAATCCTTGATCTTCATCAGAAAGCGCCTCAAGTCCTCATTCCTGTCAGCAAGCAAGATTGTGTCATCTGCACATCACTGGTTGTTAATAAGCCTTCCTCCAATCCTGATGCATTTTTCTTCATATACCCAGCATGCAGACTGAGTAAGGATGGGGAGAAGATACAACCCTGATGCACACCTTTTCTCACCTTAAACCATGCAGTGTTCCCTTGTTCTGTTCGCACCACTTTTCAGGTTATTTAGCACTGAACTTTTCGAGATCTACTAGTGCTATAAAAGAAACTCTACAAGAGAATGACCTTCACAAACAAAGTTATTCCCTCAGTTTAGCAAGCTCTCAGTCTAAATGCAGAGTAAGAGTGTTCTAGGAGAAAGTTTTCTGTGTTAGCTCCAGACAAAAGTCCTTGTTTCCTTTCAGCCTCTGACGGCCCAGCATTCCTTGGAGATCTCCAGGGATCTTGGCATCCATCTTCCCTGGAACATCCAAGTGCTCAGCACAGGATCCCAAGGCCCAACGTCCATTCCCAGCTCCTGTATCTTGGTGGTAGTAAGTCCCCCCCACCCCTCTCTGCTTACTTCTCTCTCCTTTTATTTCTTGTAAAATAAGGATGACATAGGGTTGTGACCTGTTGTAGTCCTGCCACGTTAAGATACCATGCATCATCCAATCTGTGGTTTGGTTTCTGATTCATATATTTCTGTGCTGCTTGAGCACCGTTTCAGTGTATTGATTTCTGGGTGGTGTCTCTCAGGTTTGTCTGTTGTTGATTTTCTGTCCAAAGTCTTCTCAGTATTATTTTTCTGTAATGCTAATCTTGTTTTACGAATTCGTTTAATTCCTCCTTTTATGGGAACGCCCTTATTTCTCCCTCATATTTGACAGGCAGCCTGGATAGAAGATTCTATATTGGCCAGTTTTCTTCTTTCGGTATTTTATATATGTCACTCTATTGTCTTCTAGCCTACATAGTTTCTGCTGAGAAATCTGAGCTTATTTTTAGTGGTGTTCCTTTGTAGGTGGCATTCCCCCACACCCCCCTGAGCTGCTCTCAGGATTCTCTCCTTTTCCTTGAAATTGGAGAGTTTTACTATGATATGTTGTGTCGAGAAAATAACAAAATAATAATAATTTATAAATTATCAAGGGTTCATGAGGGAGGAGGGAGTGGGAATGGAGGGGTAAAAATGAGGAGCTGATATTAAGGGCTCAAGTAGAAAGCAAATATTTTGAGAATGATGATGGCAACAAATGTACAAATGTGCTTGACACAGTGGATGTATGTATGGATTGTGATAAGAATTGTATGAGCCCCCCCCAAAATGATTTAAAATAAATAATAAATGTAAAATACCACCACTGGCATTTCTAAGTACATATACATGTCCTACACCCTAATGCATCCAAAATGGAATAAAAGATTTTTTGGGGGGGTGTTTCTCAGTGTCTCCCTTCCTCTCTCTCTTTCTATGTGTGTGTGTGTGTGTGTGTGTACATGTGAGTGATGAGTGTGTCACTATTTCTGGATTCATGTTGTTGCTATTGTTTTGATGGAATGAAGAAGTTGTGCTCGGACTTAATTAGTGTCCACTGCTTTACTTATCTACTCGATCACTATGGGTTCTGATATCCATTGCAATGACTACACAGAAATTTACAGACAAAATTCATGATTAAAGGGCTTATTAAGGACCTTAACAAGTTGGAATGCTCATGAGAAATGCTCAATGCTCTGATAGTTGTTTACCATAACATGTTACAAGGTTGCAAGTCTGCTAATAAATGCCCAAAGGGGCACACCTCTCTGCTGTAAGCCTCAACCTGAGGGCATTTAGCTCAAGCTCCACGGGTCAGCAAGTCCAACTTTCCCCCCAATTAAGTACCCAGAGGCACCCACTCCACAAGCCAGCCTCCTGCACAAAAGCATTCCTCTGAATTTGCTCCATGGATTGGGAAGCCCATCACTCGGTTCCATGTCCTGGTCCTGGTTCTGTTGCTGCTCCTGAGGACATAGCTGTCATCTAGATCTAGGAGGTTCGGTATGCAGGGCTCTAGGGTCCAGAGGACGGACTCCACTCCTGGCTCTTGCTGGTAAAGAGATCCCTCCTTCCTGCTTCTCAGAGGGCTCATTTTAGATACAGCAGGATGCCACCCCAGCGAATCCTGTTTGCAATTACTCACAGGTAAATACTATCAGTATTTCTTCCTCCTGTCTTACCAAAGACCATGCAGGGAAAGGTGGTTTGGTGGGAGTTGGAGACTTTGGCTACAAGAGCCATATGGAATAGTTCAATGCCACTGCAAGTGGAAATCAATTCTCAAACTGTGGTTCAAAACTTCTAAATCTGTCAATAAATACAATAATTTGAAGAGTTCAGTAAAATACTGACTCCCAGGCCTCATACTCAAAGATCATATTTTAGCAACTCTTCAGTGGAATCTAAAAAAATCAACGTTATAAAAAGTATCTCAAGCTATTCTTGTATAACCAAGTCTTATCATCTGTAGTATAGAAAAGTTTATTTCTACGAACCAGATTAGAATGTTTTTCTCATCCCTCCAAGTAAATCAAAGAACATTCAGAGGGAAACTGTGTAACTTAATAATGCGTTGCAAATTGCTATCAGTCACATGCCGTTTTTCACAAAAATGAAACATTCATGACTGTACTACTCAGAAACCATTTCTATTGCTAACTATTAAACAGCGGCTATGAGTCGTGTGAAGAATAACTTGTCCAGGTTTTGGAGGCTAGCTCTTCTTACCACATCCCCAAATGGCACCAAGGTTGGCTTCTCCACTTCGCCTTCCTCTTCTTTTTTCTCGGTCCCCTTAATGGTTTTCTTCAGTATCTACAATGCAAATAAGTGACGGCTTCAGAAGGAAAAGAGCATAACCAGATAAAAGGCTAATAAATTAAAATAGCTTGAGTATGTAGTAAGCACTAAATACTATTCCTGGCAGTAAGATAGTAGTATGACTAAAATCATCATCCCTGACTTCAATAACTAAATCAACAACTTAATTTAGAAAATAAAAATACAATTAAACATAAACTCTTTAGGAGAATCGTAAGAGAAAAGTGCATCACAGTTTGAACAATGAGCTCTTCAGTTTGCTACGAGATGGAACGGATGGTGGGAGATCATCAAGGGTTTATAAGAAAGAAATAGGATAAGATAGAATGAAGATGTAGACTAATATTCAAATCCCTGAGTGAGGGGGCCAGTGGGGGCAGTTAGACCTCCTGGACTAATAGGGGCTAGAGGAAACTCCCGTGACTAGCACTCTAAGATGGCCTTTGAACTTGGAACTGAAGCTTTTTCTGCAAGTTACTTTTCAGCTAATTAACATTGGCTCATAAAATAACTACTGTCACCCAGGAAGTGCTCCCTTAACCATTTCACTGAGTGAAGGTCACAGTCAACATCTAGCTAAAAGCCAAGACGAGAAGGAAAGTTAGAAATAAAATGAAAATACAGAGAATGAAAATACTATAAAAATTGTAGTCAATGTCAGAGAACCATTTGTATACAATGTGGGACCCTGATTTGCTGTTTAACCCTGTACCTAAAACACAACAAAATGTTGTGGTGGTCATTATTTAAACGTTTATAAGGAGAGAATACCAATTGACCCTAGTTTGGGAGCTACCTTAAATTTTACAAAATTCAAAACCAACAAGTACAAATACAACACAATCCTGGCTGCCTAGCGTCCCCAGGAGACCTCACGAACTTCAGACTTCCTTGCCGGGGGAAGCGCAAAGCAGATTCCCACAGAGTTGCCACTGGTGCTCCGCTCACCCCTGCAAACCCACGGGAGCAGCGAGCAAGGGGACAACAAGTCTGCAGAACTCCTACAGAGAAGAATCAGAGGAACAAGAGCACAGGAGAGAGAGCCCAACTCGGTCTTGGTTTCTCAGTGTGGCGTGGCAGGAAACAAAGGCACTTTTCACATTTCAAGAAGGTAGAGGCCTAATTCAAGACCTTGGCTCTAGGGGAAGAAAGCTCCCCTGTGTCAACTCTGGGGGGAAGTCCTTGTTTCAGCTTCTTCGACCCCAATTTTCCTAGGTTCCTCGGGGAGCTCGACATAGCATCTATTTCTGACATTTGTGCTTG